AACCTTGCAAACACCAGCAAAAATGTTTGCGCTCGTTTAAGCGCCATAAGCGCCGGTAATGGGGACATCCGGACACATGAAATGGTGCTCTCGCATGTCACGGATTATATTCGCATTTTAGCGGATTTATCCGAAATTTATCGGAAGTAAGACAGCCTTGTCATTCTGGCACCATTTTTGCTCTTAAGAGGTACATCCAAACCTTTACTGTGCCATCCACCCAAAAGAGACCCTCATCCAGGCAAATATTTGTGTATATTTACTATATACAGCATGAACAGGTGTGCAGTCAATGTATTGAATCTTAACTCTCTCTGAAACTGGTCAAAAACAGTCAAAACAGCCTTTGGAGGCCCCAAAACAAGCTCAAACAAAGACCGCGCCCCTTCGGCGATCAAGCGCCTATTACTAATGGTGATTCACGTAGTCCCGGCTGCAGATCTCGCAGATCTGCAGCCGGGACTACGTGAACCGCTATGACTAAGCGTCTAGGGAGGCTTCTGAGGCTTGCCAGATTCACAAGCCCACCTTTCCTCCAATAAATTATCAGTAATTTCGCTAAAATGCGGATATAATCCGCAGCATGCGAAAAAATGCGTGCGTATGTTTGATAGCTCCAATCACTAGTGTTAATGATGCTAAAATGGGCGCAAACATGTCTGCTTCCCTGCACAAGGTTATTCCCACTACTATACACTACATACATACTGTAAATTGACCAAAATATTTATAGGGACTCCTCAACATGTTGGACATCATGTGAGAATACATGAGGATCACATTCACTGGCTGAGAAAGAGTAGGAGCAGGAGAAAAGCAGATGGCACTTGAGCGCTTATAGAGCACTTATTTGCATATGTTTGCCTAGTTTCTTCTCCTCAGTTCTCTCCTTCAAACATTTAATATTCTATACATAAATACATATTCTGAATCCTCTCTTTCAGCTCTATTTGCTCATATATAAAGCACCAAAATGTGCCCACATTTGAGATGGCACTTTTGCACTCAGGCCTGGCCAGCACACATGAAAGACAGTGTTGCTACACAGGCACATCCAAGTTTTTCACCTTCTAGTGGTTACATGTAGCTAGATGTATGCTAGGAGTATCTAGGTACCAAATTTTAAGTTGATACTCAAAGTGTGGAAGGCTGTAAAAATCAAGCAAGTTTCACTCCAAAGTTTGAAATGAACCCTAACCCAAGTTTCATGGACTAGTGTAGTGTGAATACAAATAAGACTCCCACACATTGGACTAAGTTTCGTGACAGTGCTAAAAAGCTCCCAAAGTGCCAGTCTGTACAGAACAATTCTTCATTACATTCAGAAATTGTAACTAGATGGTCCCCTGCCATATTGTAAGAAGTGCTAGACAGTCACAGTTCAAAATCAAACAGGGTGACATAGGTTTGTGCTATGTCATGCTTCTCAGGCTTTGTCCTTTGTGAGGCAAGGCTACTGTAATGGACATATGCATCGGTGAGCCAGGGATATCTCTGTCTTCCTTCCAGCCTCCCGGCCTGTTGGCAGGCATGTTGTGTAAGGGCTAGAGCACTAACCCTCCCCTTGTAGGACAACAGGCTTGGTGGCACCTGATGCCATCAGTGCGCCCACCTGCCTCATCAGCCTGGGCTCTCGACACCTTGTGTGTCTCATGTTTTGTATCCCCTCCTTTGTTCCTATTCCTTTTATCCTTTGACTTCCCATGACTCCCTTTGACTCATCCTGACTTTCTTCGGATCCGTCTCGGCTCCTCATTATGACTTAGGGTAGGAGTTCTAGTATATATAGGTGTAAATACAATGGTGTACCGTAGTTTCTTGAGAATCGAGACTTACCCCACTCTTTCTCTGGTGTGATAACCTCTCACAAGCTCAGATTCTCATCTCCGAGGTCCTGCAATATAGCCGCTGACTCACTGATTACTTGACTCGTCAAGCGTCTACTGAAGCCAAACCTTACATGTTGCACACATTGCAAAAGCTAAGGAACTGGCCGCTGGTCTCAAGTCTTTGACACTTGGGTAGCAGCCCTGAGCCAGCTGCAGGAACTGGGCAGATATTTGGGCATACAAGAATTGAGGTTCTTGAGTATTACAGTACTTTTATTAGTTTAGCAAAGATCTTTGTTTTCCTGTTCATTTCTTCTGCTTTGAGCAAGCCATTCAATATTCAAGTTGATGCGCCCAATTCATGACAGGTGCTTGCTGCTCATGCTCTCCATAAATCTCACCTTTTTTTGTGCATTCACAATTTTGCCACCAATACATTGTGTAAACTATGCCAATGTAGATGTCAATACGGTCAAAAATTGTCCACAGAGGAGATGCGAAGCTGAGAAGTGCTGACATTGACCAGCTGTATTAGATGTGTTGGATCAATTGTCGATAAGATAACAAAGGACAAAGTGAGACAAAGAGTGTGGAGCGACACAATGTCACAGTCAACAAATTGTTTGAACTGTGGCCGTCTGGTGCACTATAATATTGCTCACCTTGCGTGTGCTGCCACCTACTATGCTCAGGCCCAAATGTAGCTGAGCTGTTGACATTTCATGCCTGCCAGGGCTGACAGCTGCAAGACACGCAAAAATTTCCATAAGAGATTAGATGAGGGGCAGACAATGTGTTGAGTGTCTGGTGTATGTAGCACCTGAGTTGCAATCACATGCAAATCACGTGAACATCCAAGTGCGCTTTGCTCTCAGACAGCGGCTTTTTTAGTGCTTAGGCAGGTGTCCAAGTACCCTCTCCCACTACTGCATTGGGCTCTGTGATGCTCACAGTGCAATGGAGGGCTCAGGAAGCCTCAATCATGAAGGTACAGGCTGTAACATAACATATATATATATATAATAGTTTTCTAGTAGTAATGGCCTTGGTTCTTGGCTGGGAGACATCAGTGTTCCTTAGGTGAATTTCCGGCTTGAACATGTTCCCAAAAAAAAAAATAGCAATGTGTCCAGCCCTATTATTGCACATATAATGAAAGTCTGAGCACTCCATACAGCAGAATAATGTTATAAAGCAATTCTGAGCACTTCTTTTCATGTACTGGTGGCTCCCAGGAGCTCTCTGCTCTCACACGGTATGACATCCATTTCCCATGGTATTTACACATTTATATATGTCACTAGATGTATCTCACTGGTTCACACAAACACAAGTTACCAAAATGTATGATTAGGCCAAGATGAGCACCTGTTGTAAGAAGAGCTGCAAAGTGCTTACCAGGTCCATATCTAGTGAAAGTGCGATAAGTAACATTCAATCCATGCCTCTCTCCCTCAATATGCTCCCAAAAACATAATATTTTTATATGCATAGCAGACAGTATATAAATTACTCATCACCAACGACAGCTGGTTTTGTTTGGTAGGCAGCGGGTGAGAATTCAGTGTCCGAGTTCCTAGGGTGTCGGAGTTCCTGATAAGATACAGTATACCTGTGTCTCTAGTAGCAAGTGCATGAACGTCAAACGCGCACGCACAGCCCTAGACACCCATATAAAAGGAAAATTTGCGGCCAGCGCGGGGGCGAGGATTTACAGCAGTACTGTTGAAGAAACAAAACAAAAAAACCTCGATGATTTTCAGGTGACATTTAAAACAGCTCAGCGTAGGCTAAAAGCGACATGAACCGTAAGTACACCGAGCAAGAGCCTGAGGGGTCAACCGGTCACGGGACGAAGATGTAGGCAAGCCTTATCTGTCGCATGATAACGTCGATCGACTTTGAAAATATAGTGAGACGCCGAAGCCTGCACTCTTTCCCACTCTCCTCATTACTCGTTTCGTCCAGCAGCGCTTCTTCATTCATAGGACAACATATATCGGCCAAATGCTGTCCAAGATAACGCTGAAAGTCTGTGCGCCGCGTGCTGTTCAGGTCAGCAGAGGCCGACGCGCCCTGTGCTCACTGCTCTGGTTGATGCGCTCAACATCTATGCATCTCTGACGGTCCTTATCGTTTAGGGATGCATGTGAAGCATTGCCTCAAAGAATGTATCTCGACTATCTGGGGCGTGTGATGGCCATCCTGATGGCGTCACGGTATCTTGTTGCATGATACTGATCCTAGTATCCTCGATGGTGAGTATCGTCCTCGTCCTCTCCTTTCCCTCAGACGTCCTTTCGTCTGCCCTTTCACTCTTTTGGACTCCACTCTTTACTTTATTCTCTTCAACGCGCCCACAATACCTTCCCCATCCTTCATTGCGCTTTGCATGTTGTTCTGACGTGCATCTTTGCCTCGTTCCAGACATCTGGGGATGAACTTCACACTTGATGATACCGCGATCCAGCTTGTATATACCCACTGGGCGGCCCAGAGTCCCAACGACCTCAACGTTTCCGAGTTCTTTGGTGGGACCTACCATGTCGCGCAAGCGAACGGGGCGACTCTGAACATGTCTGTCTCCGGCGGAGCTCTGTACATCTATGGCTCGACAGGGCCTGGACATGTGAGCACATACTATCTCGTATTCCGTTGACCGAGTTCACGGATACGTGGTCGCTAGGGAACATTCAGTGTGCAAGTTGACGACTCCATCACTTATTTATCGGCGAACGCCGCAGATACCCGTTTCCAGCAGCTACTTTTCGCGACGACCTTCAGCTCGCAAATTCCTTCGCCGCATTTCGTCTCAGTGACCGCACTCCTCAGCAAAGACACACCCTGGTTCGACATTGACTTTGTTACGATCAGCTCGACTAACGTTTCGTACGTCCATGTCTCTACTCCTAAACTTTATCAATGCAAGACATATCTGATCTTTCCCATCTCATAGATCCCAAGAAGCTGTGACCGCGCTCCCCAATACTTTATCTGTTCCATGGCAGACTAGGTAAGGGCCAGTCTTTCTCTGCCGCAATGCTCGATGCTAACTCCAGGTAATATAGCGCCGCTATGACATCAAGTCTTGTCTCCAGCGGTGCTTCCTCCGCCGAAAATCCTGGCACTCATGCGTACGTACTAATTATTTGTTTCCGCGCTTGTGTCTGACTTGAATACTCAGATCGCACATTGAGAAGATCAATGTTGCAGCTGAAGTTCTGGCTATCATCTTTGGCTCGTTCATTGTGCTTGCGGGCTTGTTGCTCCTCATCTACATATTCCTTCGTCACCGCTATGATCTCCATCGCGCCAAAGAACGAGCCTTCCGTATTGGCAACTCTGGCTCGGGGTCTGATGCAGACAGGGTCATGACGGCGAAGAAAACAGCTATCAGTGCGCCGGAAAACTTCCAGCACATGACATCGTACACCGGTTCCGGTTCGAATCTCAACTTACTTGGAGCTGTCAGTGCGACCGGAAGCTCAGCCGCGTTGAGTCATCCGCCGGAAGTTGGCGTCAATGCCTTGACCGCGGAAGTCCGCCTCGCGCTGCCGTCCGGCCATGCTGGAGCCACACATAATAGCGCCAAAATGCTCTCTCCACCACCCAGCCCCGGTTTTGGTACACTTGCGAGTAGCAGCAGTCTTACGCTAACGACTGCTAGCGGTACAACCAAAGCATCCGATGCGAGTGGAAAGGCGCTACTCACATCCGCGGCGCCGGCCGACATGGGCGAGAGCACTCACTCTGTGACAGGGTATTCAGGACCTGTTGCAAGCTACGCCACTGCGATGGCTGGATCAGAGGTTACGAGCATGGCACAAACGCATGCTACAATATCTGAAGCACAAGGTTCATCGAAGCCGTTTGCATTTCTTAGCTCGGCACCATCCGCGTTCAACCATATACTCAAGCGGATGAGTAAGGGTGATGCCGACTCAATGAAGACAAATTTTTTGCAGGTCTGATCAGATGTAGTATGCAGGGATTCGACCGGCACGTGGACTTCTGATATTGATGCTAGTTTTGTTTTAATTATATATTGCATCATCCTTATTTTTGTCATATAGACTTGTTCAGAGAGGGCTGTAGTGCCAGTCCTCAGCGAGTACAGTTTCTTCGCTCTCCTTATTGCTCTTGGCTATATAATAAGGCTGTGAAAACTGAGGTCGAGAAACTCATGCAAGTCAATGTCACAACTGAGGAAGGCGTGAAATGGCCATGGAGATGCCAGTTCGCGATATCGGCTCGTGTAAGAGGAAGTCGTCTCGCAAATATTTACAAAAATCAGCTGCAGCTAGAAGAAAACTTGTCTCCTGGTGAACCGGTGGAGGGCTCTGTCGGAAGACATCGAGGTCGGTGACAAAACCTCGCTTCCTAGTAAACGGGCGGTTAAGCACGCTTGCACACAAAATATTCGTAGCACCATACTGTAGAGGAATGTATGGTAGCAATCGAGGGCGAGGCGTGACGCTTTACGACGGGCAACCAGTCATGTGTGACTTGTGACCTAAGGCCTAATAAGAAACCGCCGCCGTCAGGCGGCGGCGCCGCAGGTGCAACTTGCGCAGAAACCAGCAACCAACTGACTGTGACGCGTGACGTTGCTACCATACGTTCCTCTACAGTACAAACGTATGCCAAAAATCTCACATTTTTCACCTACATATTTACTGAGTCTATAAGCCTCTCAGCAAATTCTTCTGTGGAAAAACCTCCGTCCTCCGAGATCCTGATAAGATACGGTAACCTCAGCGTCGGCTTGGCGATCTTGACTGGCTGCTATTCCAGGATACAACCCAATCTACAAGTACATTTGGTACTACTTTCGCAGAAATCTATCTCACATATCTTCATCATCCTCATCCGCCCACTCAACATCGCCCACCGCCTCCTCTCCCTCGCGATACAGTTCATCCAGACCGGTGAGACGTTCCAGGAATCCAGGCTCGCCGCAGGCACTCTGCACAAGAGACCACGCGTCACGTTCGTATGCCTCCAGCACTGCGTCGCCGCAGCCTGTGCAGCGCGAGAAGGCCGCGCCTCGTAAAGGTATCGTCCGAAACTCGGCGAGGTAGCCCCGCAGTTGGTGCGGCACAAGCCCGAGCACGCTTCCCGACGCGTGCGGATCAGGCAGCTCGCCACCCTTCGTAGGTACCGGCGCCGGTGCGTTTACGCTATGGTAAAGGTCAGACAAGATACGGAGGAGGCGAAGGAAAGACGTACCCGTCTGGGTGTTGCAGCAGCGCGGCGAGGAGCTCGACGGCCGTCGATGACGCGGTGGATGCGAGTCCGGGGCGCGTGACCGTGCACATCTGGTCGAGGGTCCTGTCCGTGAGGCTCTGCGCGAAGTTTAACCAACGGCCTGCCATGGTAGTGTGAGAACGGGAGAACTTACGTCTGCAGGCGCAACGATGTCGTTACAGTAGTAACACCCAAGCCGCTCGCCCTTCGCGAGCTCTTTGCGTGCACCATGGCGCATGACAAGGAAGGTGTCAAAGCCTAGCGCAGCATTCATGACAATCTGCACCACCTCATCAGCTTTCCGCCTTAGGAGTAACAATGTGCGCGCCCACCTTGCCCTTCGCCGCGCCGAGTACTGTTGGTAGCCACCGGCTCTCTCGCGAGTCCATGAGGAGAAATACAACGTCATGATCGTCGACGAGCTTCTCCAGTAATTCGACATCCTTCTTTGTTTGCTCGAGCGACGTGGGCGGAATTGGGTGTCCTGGCATCGGTATACTGAGGTTGTGCCCTGTAGAATTCTACCAATGCCACCGAAGGGTTTCAATAACAGGGTGCCAAAGGGAAGACAGAAGACACGCACGATGCCGGGAAATATCTTCTTCAGGTTCTCCGCTGCACATGCAGCTTTGGGCTTCCCACCGTCGAGACAATCCTCAAAAGTAAAGAGCGGTTGTCGCACTGGGTTCGAGAACGACACCCGCGCACTATCAACAAATGTGATTGTTCGCACCCCCCATGCCTGTCGCAGCATCAGTCACGTCTGTCACAAAAGGGGAGACGTGAAGACGCACCATGAGCATCCGCGCGACGTAGCAGCCGAGTGTACCTGCGCCTAGAAGGAGACATCGCGCATTAGCCACGCGCTCGAGATCGAGCTCGGGAAGTATCCGCCAGCGCATGAGTTTCAGATTCAGGTCAACCGCTTGCTCCGCCAGCCTGTGTGCATGAAGCCTGCTAGTACACATAGATTTTCAAGACGAAGAAGAGGCAAACCTCTTTGGATCCATCGTCGGCGCTAGGTCTGCGACCCGTGGCGCAAGCTTGCCCTGAGGGTTCTTCTCCCACCCAACGGCACTTGGACGCTCGCCCGTGCCCTGTACACTCGCCAAACCAGTAACGACGCCGACGCGACTGCGCGACCGTCCATCATGCGGCGGGTCGACGTCGCGCCAGCACAGGACTCGCAACCCAGACGCGGAGTCCATCGAGAAGAGTGGTGAGTGCCGGTGCGCAAGGTAAGTGAGCAGGTTTCGAAGTGGCCAGCCGGGGTTGCTTGGTGCGCCTGAGGGGTCGACAAAGCCAATGAGACGCTACAGACGGCGTACGCAGGTGAGTAGGCATATAAGGGACGGGAAGGGAATGGCATACATGTTCTGGCGGAACACCGTCAAAGAATTTTTGCAATTCTTCAATAGGTGCAACCTCGGGTGCAGCAGAGGAGGTGCGGACAAGGAAAAATTGGCGCGGTTCGGTGTGCAACGCTGTATATACTGCGGAGAGCTGCAAAGAGTGAGCGTCGCCAAATTCAACCACAAGGAGCTCACCGTCTCAGAAGATAGCGTCTCTGACGCACTCTGCCAGTCGCCACCTGCCTCCCATGCAGGCTTTGCAACGAAGGCGGGGAAAGCGAACCAGTAGTAATATCGATACTTCTTCAGGTCGGCGAAGGTGATGAGGAGGAACTTGGTGAGCTTAGAAGTAGAGCCAGACTGGATATCCTTCCATATCTAGGTCGGCAAGCGGGTCAATCATGACGCAGTCGCTTTGATAAACTCATGCATATACGCAAATACAGGAACAAGCAGCTCCGTACCTCATCTGACAGCTCGTTAAACAGTGTAGTCTTATCTGCAGCTTTGAACTCCTCTATTGTGTTGTAGTTCTTCAACAATCCATATGCGGGTACGGCATACTTGGGTATCCTGAAGCGGTCATTAGCAATCGCATGTAAGCTTTGCGGGCACGGAAACGCACTGAGGATGCTGGGTGAACGCATCGCCTGCTAGTGTCAACGCGGACGGCATCGCAATCTCCTGCCCCGTCTCCCTGTCGACGATGGCACGTCCAGGCGCATAGGACGCTGCCACGGGAATGAAGTCATCTGAGAGTTTGAGGACATCGATCTTGAGATTGTTGAGCGCATGCCAGAAGGCCGGCTCGACGAGCGAGGAGAATGGTTGGAATTGGATGATCGCCATATCGTGAGTGTTTGTCGTGAAGCAGAGAAAGCAACGCAGTGCACACTCGCCCGAGAGCACCTGGACGGAGGTGGCGTGAGCACAGGCGGGGGCGGGCAGCAAGCCAAGAATGTCATACCACGTGACTCTGTCTTGATGGCGCATCAATGAGTCCGAGGTCAGGGCGCATCACACCTCTGCAGTACAGCAGGCTTCATTGACAGTCGCTCTAGTCGCCGTGGACAACGTTACGATGGGAAGAATCGTTCCCTACGTGCCAGAATCACTTGCAGGTTGCCGAAACTCGTACGAGCTTGTCTGCGTCATGTACCACGCCCTCGAAGGTAAGTATGCTTTAGGCCCTGCTCGTCATGCTCAGCCCCCTCGCATCCTGACGTTGTGTATGTGGCAGCACATAAGGCGTATTACGAAGCTGGCGTTCTGCACGGACATATCAGCGATCGAGTCATCATGCGCATTCCGCACGAGACGCGGAACGATATCACACGAGGCATCCTCCTCGATCTTGACAACTCTTACAACTGGAAGCGGCACGCATCGAAGCCTGTGTTGAGTTCGAGTGCCTCTCCTAAGTCTAAGGAGGAGTTAAAGGCGAATGTTGAGGATAGCAAGGGAGAGGCAGGACAGTACGAGAGAAACGTAAGCGCAAGTGACGCCATGCTCGGCCGCGGAATGAAGAAGTGGCTAGCAGGCCAGTGAGCGGGTAGATACCTACACATGCTTGGGGGATTGGAGAAGAGCTTCTGAGATCTCAGTGCTGTTTAAATCCGTGCCTGTTTGCTCAGTTCAAGGACGCATGCCACAACTCGCCCGATGGGTCGCGCCAGTATACGTATCGCACCGCTCAAGCGTCGGAAGTGTAGTTAGCATCGTCCATGGTCACCAAGCTTCCTTTCCCATACAGCACGAAGTCGCGCTCACTTGTACAGACCTTGCGTGACATGCTCACCGCGCTGTGCGCATATACGACACACTCTGCTTATACATCCGACAGTGGTGATGCACTATGACTGGCTAAGCTACCATGGATCTCCTTCGGCATGTGTATGCGCGCTGTCCTGCTTCGCGAAGTGGTCGGGACGGGCATCACGTGCGATCTCAACCAGGCCGACGAGTGGGCAAGGGTGCGAAATACAGCACGTAGGTTGGAGGGAACAGGAGAAGTCGTGCTTGTGTCAAGATAATGGAGGGAAAGACGGGAGCTGGGCAGCAGTCTACGAAAAGCAAGACAAACGAACCCTTCCCTAGGCGCACCAAGGTACCTGCGCTCGCTGGCGACACGACACGGCTACCGTGAAACGCAGAGGATAGGCACCGAGGAGATCGAGTAGTCTGTGCACCTTTAAAGAGTACCGAAGTCTTATGTAAGAGAGCAGGTGCTCGGGAAGGGCATGAAGAACTGGTTGACGGGAAAGCAACTGCCTTGTGAGGCCGAGATATGGCTTGGCAAACGTACTTTTAGCCCCAATTCATGGATTAGCTTGAGTTCTGAACTTCAACAGGGTCGCCACTCACGATATCAGAAGTTTCGTTACCTTTGGCATACCATAGCATGGTCAGTTGTGTAAATCGTCGACCATCTACTCCAAAGTATTCTCAGGTTATGCCATTACTTTTGGTGCAAGGTATCTTCGCGGATGTCCCTCACACTCATGCAAAGCCGATAATTTTCACAGTATGTGTGTGCGCAAGCAGAGTGTAATGGGTACAAGGCGGTGTACGAAGGATGCGCAGCAGGCCTCCGCGCGCCCGGTGGAGTATGTCATGTGCAGAAACACGCCGGCGAAGTGAGAGTACACACAACAAAATAACAGAGAGTTGGCGAGGTTAATCGAAGAGACCAAAGCCCTGCACACACATATCGTTTCAGAGACAAAGACTGCACGACGGAAAATAGAGAAGGCGCACCATGTCGTCGTCTGATTCCTCTTTCTCTTCCTCCTTCTTCTTCTCCTCCTCCTTGGGCGCTTCAGCGCCACCAGCAGCCCCGCCAGCAGCCGCAGGAGCGCCACCGGCTGCGGGGGCACCACCGCCCGCACCAATGTTAGACAGGAGCTCCTTCACGTTTTTTCCCTCGAGGGCCTTGGCGAGAAGAGTTGCCCAGATAGCCTCGACATCAGCACCCGCAGCGGTCGTCAGCGCGGTGATCTTGTCCGACTATTAAATTTCGATTGAAAAATTAGGGAAAACAGGGAAATGGGATTCAAGACGGGCGGGCAGGCACGCACGGTGATCTCGACGCCATCGTCGGCGAGAATGAGGGCGGCGTAGGTTGCAGCAAGTTCTACGTTGGCCTAATGCAGAGCAACGGATTGTTAGCATATTCGTTCATCGCAAAGCGCACTAGTCATTTCAATGATCTTCATCCGGCAAACAGCACCTCCATCTAGCCTCCAGTTCTGTCATCCAGCCTCCCAGACTACGGAAACTGCACTCCAACCGCGCCAGAAATGCCTAGGGACAGCGTCTTACCATTATAAATCGTCGAGAGTCGCAAGGACTAGGTCAAAGGGAGTCTTGTCGCATTGTAGACGGGCTGGATGTTGATGATTTCAGTTTCCCGCTGTCATGCCGTTTGCCACGTGGAAAAAGCGCCTATCGAAATTGGCGCTCGCGGCACCAACACTAGTTCAGCGACTTCCAAACAACTTCTCTTCTTCGCCCCGAGTTTATTGCCCAATACTACCTGTCCGGTATTCAATATTCCAGTCCGGGCATGCTGCTATGTGGCTGAATTTGGTAAGTTTGACATGTTGGTTGTCAAAATGTGAAACAGATTCGGATCCGGTAAGCTGAACCCTTTGATCCTAACATATACAAACAGTATTCTTCACCATCGACCACCAAGTCAACCACCACCTCGACCTTGTAGACTCCTATAACTGCGCGGATCCTCTGCTTTTATTCCAAATTAACAATATCCAGCTGCATTTGAGTAATATCCAGTGCCTCATGTCGGCCGTACCGTCTACAAGCCGTACTAACTCAGAGGGACCTGATCGCAAGCGCCCGCGTCGGAAGCTCGAAGACGAAGAGATCAAAGTCCTGGAGAGTCACCCCACCCTCTACTTCGATGACGGAAACATTATTTTGAGCTGCGGCAGCACTCTCTTTCGTGTACACCGCACGCTGCTCGCCAAACACTCTCCGGTCTTCCAACAAATGTTCATGCCAATGGACGGAGTCAAGCATGAGATGGAGAGAGGGTGCAAGCATTTTAGCGTGGACGACAGCAGGGAGGATATGGAAGCGCTGTTAGAGGTGATATACGGTGGCTTGTGAGTTGCCTCTTCGTCTCTATCTTTGCTGGTTTTCGATGCGCTCGCCCCGCAGACGCATCGACACCGTAGCTTTGACGGCGGAGAGCTTTCCGCTATTGTCCAGTCTCCTGCAAATGTGCACGAAGTATGAAATTGAACGCCCTCGTTCCGAGGTTATCGCACGCATACAGGCCAACTGGCCACACGACCTCGCGAAGCACGACGCAATCGTTGACGCCAGAATCCGCAGATACATGAACACCCATGTACACGAGTTGCCACAGAACACACTCCTGTGCGATGTAGACGAAGACATGGACCTACATCCTGCAGCTGTCATTTCTCTCCTGCGCCAGTGCGGATACACCACACCTGAGCTCCTTGCCGCCCTCTTCTACGCACTCAGCCGCTGCTCAAAGAAATTCGGTGGTACAGCACCCGGTTTCAGCATCTCACCCCTATCTCACGCCGACATCGAAAGACTCATCGTCGGTATTGAACGCCTGCGCGAAGCACACAGCAGGCTGATGATTGCTATGCCACTAGGCCAGCAAGCCCATATGCAGCTTTGCGGGCCAGGGCTTCTCACACACAACAATACTCAGGTTTTCCCCGCCGCTGTGAATGGTCTTAATCGCCCAATAGAATTTTGGCGGGCAGCCGCCGACAAAGTCCAGCGGGCTACACAGGGTCTTCCGGGTACACGGCCGCCATGCGCCGCATGTTGCGACGCTGCTGCTGCCACGATAAGGGCCAGTCGGGAAGCTCTCTGGGGACGCATGGCCGAGATTTTTGAGCTCGCGTGACCTTCTTCCTTTTTCTCTTTGCACCTTGCATGCATGCTGTCGCGGATGTCTGACGCTGATTCGTTCCGTCTACCTTCGCGCCGTGATTCCTCTCATTTCCCACAACACGACCGTAACTCATCATTACTCAGATTTTCGTTATATTTGCTGCCGGAATCGACACGTCTTGCGCTAGTTTTTGAAATCGAACAGGCTCGGCATCATTATATTGTTATTTGTGGCAGTCTCGCTAATGCGCCCCGATTGGTTTTATTCAGGCTTTTGCCTTTGCATACACCAGGAAGATGTCCGGGTGTCAGGTGTCTTGGATCAGATGGCATGCCTTAGTAGCATACCTTGTGCATTGCTGGTACCTACACTGGAGGTGCCAATAAATGCCATAATGGCACCCGAGGCGTGTCGGTCCGAGCGCGAGCTCAGGACGCATGAGCGATATCGATACGCTTGAACATTTCCAGGCGGTAGTTCTGAGCGCAACCGTGCTGAAGTAGTGTAGGAATACGCTCGCAAGCTATAAAAGCTGTTTAGATGCTTGGAGATTATAGGAATAAAGGCCCCCGTGGTGTGCCGCGAGTCTTCTGACGACTTTCGCTGCGGAACAGAGGCAAGCTCCGCCGGTACGACGTTCGATTTGGTTAACGCTGACGGCCCCTGCGAAGCTGTAGCTCGTTCAAGTCCTGGACAGCCGTCACGTATCATCGAACACAGCAGCCAAGCACCTAGAGACGACGACGTTCGACTCGGAGGGATTCGTACAATGATACCCACCGCTGTTCAGCTCGCGTCGAACCAGACAGGAGTTGGTACAACCGAGTAAGGCACAACCTCAGGCTTATCCCGCACCCACTCCCTCACGTTCCGATGGGATGAGCCCTCGGGTCGCGCCTACTACCGCACTTCAACAATAGTCGCCACAAGCGGTGATCGTGCACTTCCCCACTGTCAGCTCTGGATACATGTACATAAGATGGAGAATTAGAAGGGGAAGAAGCGAGCACTGGAGGTCGAGGAAGCCAAGGAAGAGGATGCTGATCAAGAGCCTTGAAAGAAGCACGCTGCGAACAAGGAGACAGCTGCCGCCTGCCGCAGCGGGTGCGATCGTGACGAGCGTGACCATGAGGGCCGCAGGCCTAGTAAACGCAGCAGGCGCAGTGCAGACCGCTCGTCCTTCTGCCACCCGTCTCGCCATGTGGAGAACGGTGACTGAGTCCACGCGACATATGTTGCCAATGTGCCGATAACTGCCTTCGCCAACCCTAAGCCTGAATATAGCTGCATGGCTCTACCGAGTCTGAAGTAGCGGAGTGTGTACGGTGGGCACGAAGGTCAGGCTTGATACGATCTTATTTATGATTTAGTTTTAATACTACTACCCTTCGAAGAGCTGTCATTCTACATGGCTTCAGCTGGAAGGCGTAAAAGAGCTTGGGCTCAGGCTAGTCCTTGGCGTGCTAGACAAACATGCTTGGCCTGCTGCCGTGGGCAAGCTCGATGTTCCGGTGGTAGGCCGGTTCGTCGTTTTCAAATGCGAGCCTGATCTCCGAGGCTAGGATTGGCCCTGTCGTTTCGTGATGCACTCGTTCAATCGACAGCGCCCCGGGCCATCGTCCCGTTCGACTGCAAAGGAGCCTGCAGCGATGTGCCTTATAAACATCTTCGCCACTCGCGAACTGCTACCACCTGCGGCAAATTCGTGAAGTAGGCAGTACTTGCCGCACTGAAGGACATTCGTCGCCTTGCAGAGAGTCTGTGAACAGATAATATTTTGTAGCATGCGCGGCGCAATTTACATTGGAATAATCAAGTTTGTCAGGCTTCCGGTACCTCTCTTTCGAGCTTCAGCCGGCCGTGCGACTCGGTCATCGGCATGTGAGCACGCACAAATGGCTCATACTCATCGTATATTCCGTCAGGTATCCAGACGGAGAGCATGCTCCCATTGAAAGCAGCTGCACGCTGGTCTAGGGCTGTCCAGTCGAGTCTGAGTGACTCGGGGGGCTCATCACTTTGCCATATCGCGGTGAATGCGACCCGCAGGTGAAAGCAGATATTCACGACATGGCCGTCGAGCGAGATGCAGAAGATCAGGTCGTGAACAGTGTTCCGTATTCTCAACGTCGTGCAATCTGGGACAATCCTACTGAGCTCTTGTTCGCCTCACGAGCGTGTGGTGGATCAAACACGCACCAGGGAAATCCTTGCCAGGTTCCACTTCTCCCAGAGTCACCCGCTCTGACTTATGTTCAGCGCAAGCGGTGCATTCGCATTCGTCCATAGTTATCTGCACGAGCGCCACAAGCCGATACGTTTCCGCAGGGTGGACAAATGGTGGCATTCTGGTCGGTGGCGGCCTTGGACGTTGTGCAGTAACTTGAAGCCAAATGAGCGGCCATACGGCTGTGCAGCGAACTGCAACAATGTTTGTGCAGTACTTTTTCCAGCGGCGTCTCACGCCGCGGAAAGCAACTGGTATTTCTAACGGCGTCAGCTTGTCATGGTCCGCCCATGTGACGCGGTGAAGAGAAAGTGGAGCATTACGCGAGCCGTGGTCGGGGGTAATGAGCGAGTCAAGAAAGGAGATGAAGTCTGCGAATGTAGCGAAGCGCAGGTCCTTGAGCTCGAGAGAGACGAGGTGCTTTAAGGGGGAAGGGAGCGAGCGCGGAAGGCTGTGAAATGCGGAACGGGGGGCGAAGGGTTTCATTTCTTGAGGTCCACTAAAAGGAGACTGAATGTAAACCCTGTAACTGTTCATATTCGGGAACAAGTCGCGAGGCTGAGTGGTGTTTGTGATGAGGTGGATCCACGGAAGCGAAGACACCGTTGCACGAATAGTGACGTCTGAGATGTACATCCCGACACTGATGCCCAGCGAGGTCGTCTTCGCAAGCTCGAGCAAGCGATAAGCATCCTCTGGAGTCTGAAGCTCGATGTGCGTGAATATGGCCGGACGGCAGTGTATCGCCCAGTAACGGCAGACAAGGGAGCACTGCCCAAGTTCGCGCTTCAGCCGTTTCTTATGTCTTCCGCTGCGGAAGAGCTGGTGTTCCGGAGGTATAAGATGGCGTATGATTGTTGCGAATAATTCCTGCGGTATGTGACGTGCGGTCACGGTGGTATCAGACGTCATCTGGCGAGAAGCATGTTGAACTTGAAGTTGACAGTCACATATTACCAGCGCCGGAAGTTGACGTACCTATGGCAAAGGGACAGCTGTGGGATTCAAAGCGGAGAGGGAGTAGAGCTGAGTAAGCTGTAGAAATGCAGCGTTACCGCCACGCCGCCTCGAGGCCAAGCCAGCGTCACGCTCACTGACCACGTGTGTGCATGTCTGCTTTGCGTTGACCGTTCCGACCGTCACTAGTTCACTACCCAGCTGTACGTTCTGCAGTTGTACATCCGTATACGACCTCGAGAATTCTATGCTTAGATGCTCGACCGGCGCTATTTGCTGCATATTGACATGCAGCGCTCGACTCGCACCGCCGGCGGCATAGTACTCAAGATTTTCAGGAACTCCAAGCTTCAACTTCAAGCCTCAAAGGCCACAAATTCAAAAATGCTCTCCTAGCTCGATGTGAGGGTTAGTATCCTGACGGAGGGCGAAATGTATTGTCCTACCAATGAAAATCTCCACAGACTAGTATTGGGCTCTTTCGAGGAGCGGGTACGAATGAGACGGCACATCCGTCGACCGCCGAAGAAGTGTTGCCCCGCTAGTAGCACACGTTGCGCAAACAGGGCAAATTTTGTCCGAACCGCCTCCAGCACCGGTGCATTGGCGCCGCCTATCCAGAGTCTAAATCTCTATAATGCGCATTTATTCCATTGCTCCAGTATATGTCGTTCTTATGTAGTAACCAGAATATAATCTCCCTGAAGTTGTCATTAACATCTTATCTGTGCACAACGTGCCGAAAGAGCTCACAGCGCGTCCTCTCGGTTGCAATCTAAAGACTAAGCAGCAATCTAAGTGGCACCCAGCCGCGTGACGACCCGCTCGACGAGCAGCCGCATGACCTCTGCGCGGCGGCGGCCGACTTCAAGGACCTCTTCATGCGAGACGGTCTCCTGGATCTTCGGCGGCGCGACCTCGCCCATGATCTGTCAGGCTCACAGTCAGCATCCGACTATGGCCGGTGAGATATCGGCGCACCTCGTCGAGAATCTCCTCCCCCACCCACCCGTCCTCCTTCTCGCCGACGACGGCCTTGTTCGTCACGAGACTGAGCACGACGACCTCGATGCCTTCTTCCCGTGCAGCCAAAATTTCAGGGACGGTGCTCATGCCGACGACGTCTGCGCCCGCGGCGCGCAAGAAGCGACCCTCGGCGGGCGTCTCGTATGTTGGGCCTGAGACGTAGGCGTACGTACCCTCGGGTAGCGGGAGCGCGGGTGTCGAAGCTATAGTAAGGATGCCAGAATGGGAACACATTTAGGGAGACATCAGGTCAGGCGGAGGGCCGATATCGATTAAGGACCGTGGAGAGGTCAGTATGGCCGCAGGTGGGCGGTCAGAATATGTCGTGTCGGTCGGTGGTACACAAACCGGAGCATTTGAACAAATGCAGCAGTCGGACGCGCGGTGCGATCAGCAACAGATGTCGAAAAGCGCACGATACGCAGTTCGGTCGAGGTTTGCACGAAAGATCAGATCGTGAACAAGTCACAAACATAAGCACGTACCTAATGCCTTCTGCTTCGCGTCCTCGCCAAAGACCCCCTCCTTCGCGAGCTCGTACGCGGCGCGCATCACCTCTTTGCGCACACGCCGGCTGTACGCGTCGCTGAGAGGGACGAAGCGCGGGTAATCAGGGCTGATCGTCGGGCCGAAGAGCGCATTGAGCGGGCCCGCGAGGTTTGGGATCGCGACGTGATCGGCGATGAGCACGACTGCGAGAGGGTATCAAGCAGTGCAGATGGAAAAGGAACGGGGAGGGCGCACTCGATCCGACGTCGTAGCTTGGGTTGAGCGCGCCCGAGGCGTTTGTGACTATGGTGTGTCAACGGGGGTCGCAGGGTGGTGAATGGGCGACGCACCGAGGAGCTCCTTCACACCGAGTTTCGCGAGCAGCCGGATCGGATACGTGACCGTGCGCAAGGGATGGCCTTCGTATGGGTGGAACTGCCGCATATGAGTACCTGTGCGGAAGACAGCGCTAGCACACACACCCGTCCGAGCATGGCCACGACGGGCACGTCGCCCACGAGCCCGAAAGCCAGCGCACTGCGATGTCCCTGCACGGTGCTCGTCCCGAAACCTGCGAGCTTTTCATACGGTACCTCGACGACATCGCGGAGGCTCTTGGCGAGCGTGCTCAGGCCAGAGCCGCATACGATGCCGACGCGCGGTTTGAGCAGCTTCGGCGGCAGGACCTGGGCAAGCGTGTCGAGTGCCTTGGCGAACGGTAGCGCGCTAGATGGCCCATGCGGGGGCAGCGAGGACGGCACCGACATTCTTGTGTCTGTGAGAGACGCGTCGCTGGCGTCTAGGCGCGATGAGGCGCGCCGGCGTCCCGCCCTTCTACATTTAGAGTGATGGCGGAGGAAGCGGGACTTTGCCAATGGGCAGGCGCCACGGAACCAAAACGCTGATCGGAGCCCCGACAACTCCCCGAATAAAATACTCACCAAGAGACAGCCGCTTGCCTTCAAGCTGCAGTCAATTTACCAGAACACTTGTAGAGCGATTTTTTTTTCAAACACAGTTCTATGTCGCCACTGGAGGATCGGACATCTATGCGACCAGGCTCTCAACGTCTTCCAGCCCAAGTACTGACCGATGTTAGAGCGAGCATGAGACCATATCTCCTGAGGTCCTGGCAAAAGGTATGCCAGACAGACATTGTGGACATTTTTCAACATGCTCGCCAGTCTGACGTCGGTTCACAGGAGCAGAAGTAGCTTGCCGTCTTCTGTCGTTCGCTCCTTTGCGGGTCTTGGCTGTAAACCGTTGAGCATTCCAGCGGCTTCTCCAGCGCTGATACTCACTTTACTGTATTCTAGAAAATATCTGTGCCTGCTTCCCACACAAGTAACCACGTGGGAGTGTTTTTGAGTCGGCTGTACTGGAAATTGCCCACGGCCGGGGCCGATGACCGACCTCTTTGCGCTGCGCTTCCTCGTCACTCTGCCTAACACCTGGCCACGGCTCTTGAACGACATATCGGTGCATTGGCCTGCTTCGAGACATACGTTCAACGTCGAGATACTGTCCAGCTACACACACATCCGTTCGGCTGCTCGAGAACATCGCTTCACCAGGAGCAAGCTATTCCTCCGGCGCAGTGGCATCGTAAGTTGAGCACTCGCATTGTGCTAAGCCTTGCTCATGAGTGTGTGGATTTTGGAACAGGTGGCGAGAATGTTTGGATTTTGGGACAGGGTGGCGAGACTGTGTGGGTCCAGTGGTGGTTCGCGCGATATAAGAGGTCGCTTCTCTTACCAGGTACGCGTATGTTCGACATACTACCTTGTGTAAGAAAACAAATGATCTGCAGAAAGTGAACAACCTAGCCGAGAACAACAGAGATATTGTAGGCGACCAGCAGCCTGTGAGATCCAGCGTTGAATACCCGTTCTACACAGACTTACAACAATTTCATTAGGCTTACCAAGGCGTGGAACATCAGGGAATCACATGCCGTGGCTGCGAAAAACCAATCTTCGGTGTGCGTCACAAGTGTATAGAATGCACCGATTTCGACCTCTGCCAGGACTGCATATCAGTTGTGTCAATTCGGTTTCAACACGAATACGTCCATACTTTCCTTCCAATCGAGTACCCTTGGGACCACCGCCCATTTCGCGATGCATCAGTTGCGTCATACAACATCCATCCTGATGTTCAATGTGATGGCTGCGGTCATTCACCAGTCATCGGCGTACGTCACAAGTGCCTCTCATGCGACGACTTCAATCTCTGCTCTGCATGCTTCGATACATTCGAGAAACGTTCCGCACACCATGTTTCTCACGATTTTTTTCCTATCCGAAGTGCAGGAGAGGAAGCGAAATTCCTTGTCGCGCGACGCAACGCTCAGACCCCTTCGGCGTTCCCAGGAGACCATAACGTCTTCCTTCCCCAGAGAAATGTGACTATATGCGCCTCTTACGATAAAGCCAGTCGATATTCTAGCCGAGCGTGCAACAGATGCAACAGACTCCCTGTCAGACATTGCTGCGTCGACTGCAGTGACTATGGACTTTGTACCGCTTGCGTTAGCAATCCACAGGTTCGCATGTCCCACAACCCTCGTCATCACTTCACCCCGCTGGAACCATCTACGGCGCGGCTTGAATCTGGGCCGAATATCTCCTCGCAACACGGAGACATCGAGAGCGAGACCAAGTGCGGCGGCTGCCAACGTCGTGGCTTTCGCATCCGACACCATTGTCTCGAATGTCCTGACCTTTTCCTTTGTCAGCTCTGCATCTCGTCTGTCCGGCGGCGCTCCGAGCACGGGATCAGACATCGCTTTCTCCCCATTGAGTACCCGTGGGATGTTGGCGCTTTCGAGGTCGTCTGTGCTATGCTAAATGCGCCGCGCTGTCGAGGCTGTGGCGTCAAGACCTTGTCAGGTTGGCACAAGTGTCTTTCATGTCCTGACTTCGCCTTGTGCTCGTGGTGCCTGTCGGACCCAGACATGCGTCTTGAGCACAACCTTGAACATTCCTTTTTCCCTTACGCACCATGCTCCGGCGGTGGAGCCACCAACTATAAAGCTAGGCGTCAGCAGTTCGCCGCATACAAAAATCTCCGGGCTCGCTGGTTGGTACGCGTCAGCTCAACCTCCTCTGACAGAGTAAGTTTCTCGATCCCAGTCCGAGATATTGATGCTCATGTATTGGTTGCTTTCAGCAGAGTGTCTCCGCGGCTGAGCCAGTGGAGGTGCGTCTAACAACTAATTGTCATGTTCGTCTACTGGTACTAAGGCTTGCCTTGTGTGCAGACTACTACAGAACGCGAATCACTTAGGTGCACGAGGGTCTTCTTCAAGTTAGCCGAGACGTCTGTCTGTTTCTCCTGCGACCACATACCGTGGACACGCACCACCCCGCTAGTGACGGTCCCTGAGCTCATAGATCAACGGATCAAGATAACCAACGAAGTCGAGCTGTTCAATAGTAATAAGCGCATCAACCAGCACAACAGGAATATCATCTGGGGCTCGATACAGATGGCTGCATCCGGCATCGTGCCTACCCGCCACCTCTTCCGATCCAAGTGTTCAGGCCCAGGCGAGATCCACACTCTCACTCCTCCCACTCCCTCCGCCATCCCCCTCCAGTGCATACACATTGGCCAAGGTACGATACCTAATACACTCGCGGACATCCCTTGCGACCTCCTACCCGTCGACGATCTGCTCGCCAAACTCAACAACATCCTTGGCACATCGCACACGCCGCTTGGCGATCCGGACCTTTATGGCTGCTTGAAGTATGCACTCGGCACTTCTTACGACTTCGGGGAGGTGTACGGGACGCTACGCTCGGAATGGTCAGACTGGCAGTGGCTTGGAATCTCTACCGAAGCATTCAGCAGGATGAAGCGTCGTCGTGATCAGGTTCAGCAAAGGCGAGACAACGCCGTTCGTGGCCACTCCATCCAGAACTCCCGAATCCCTCCTCGACGTGTCTGGGACTTGTACAGCAATCGAGTCCTCCCATTTCATATCATACCTTGGGCGGACTACAGAGACTATGATTGTATGCCTGGTGACCTGTGGACGGTGTCACACAGCTGGGTTTCCGAACAAGAGCGCGAGTACATCATGACCCCGATCAACGGATACCGATGGCCTGTCCCGCTTCCACGCGGCACGTCCCTCGACCACATCCGCATCGAGCTGCTCAACATGGGCGCCGTATATGTCTGGGTCGATGTTCTCTGTTTATGGCAGGAGGGTATCAAGGACGACGACGAAGCTCGGCTCGAGGAGTGGAAGCTCGACATTCCCACCATCGGCCATATCTACCAAGCCGAGCCGCGTCACAGACCGTGCATCACATATTTCAACGGCTTAGGCTTGCCGTTCGATCCGTCACCAGCAGTTCTCCGGTCGGATCGGCACTGGATGAATCGCGTATGGACCATGCAGGAGACCCTGCGCAGCTGGTTACCTGGTGGACTCACTGCGACGCCCCACTTAGATAGCCCGAAGTTTTTTTCTCGGCTAGAGGACCTTTTACTCAGTCTGCAGGTCTCCGACGCCATTCGATCCATGAGGAATCGCCATTGCACCACAGAACTTGACAGGATCGCCGGTCTTGCTTATTTCCTGGGGTGCAAAACTCTACCGCTCTACGATCGATCGGCTTCCTTAGAGTCTGCATGGACACTGCTCATCAAGCACATGCGTGGATGGCAGCGAACAGACCTTTTTGTCCAACACGAGTCTGATGTGCCGTTTGGACTCTTTATCTCATGGGCGGGGTTTCTCGGACTAACGTCCCGACCGGCGCTGAACATTTGGACAGATCTGGAGCTGGTGGATCCTCTAGACGTTCACACCAATGATCCAGGAGAGTATCACCATGCGACATATGCCACCTCGTCGTGCTATATTTTATCATCGCCCGACGACTCGGACATGCTCCAGAGTCAAGGTAGTGGACCACAAGCGCTCCAACTCCACTTCCGCAACCACGCCAATCCTGTTACTGTGCAGGCCTCCGCTATCAGAACACATGGGTGTGTTGTCCCAAATGTTCTGTATCACCTTCTCGGTGTCCGGAACTCAGATGAGTTCTGGGTTGTAGCTGAGGTAGTCGGAGAGCGGGACTTGCGAGGCAAGAAGGCTCTTGAGGTCATCAAGTGGGGTGTGATTCAAATGGGTGAGGATGCGAGCGAGAAATTCGGGAAGCTGGGACTAGTAAGTAAAGATACGATAGTGGTGTATTTGTCAAGCGAGGAGGCCTTGGCCAGGAGCAAACACGTTGACGAGTACATGGAGGCATATACCAAGGCGAAGAACAAGTCGTAATGTATCTAGTCACGCAAAACGATCATGTACGGCACAAGCTTCGAATCTATGGATCGCATGACAAAGTTTATCGTAGTAACCATGGTGTCCAAGTGCAAGCTGTATAAAACCCTCCGCCGCTCTTCCCTCCTTCGACGTGTGCACCTCCTCCAGCACGCTCGTGACGTCAGCCGTGCGGCACTCCTCCCAGAGATCCACGAGTTCGAACGCGCGTGCACAGACCTTCACGGATCGCATGGAGTGGTGGCCCATCCTGAGGACAGCGCAGAGGTAGATACAGGCGGCCAGGCCGGTACGCGGTCGAACCGGGCATATAAATCTCGTCTGCGAAGGGCAAGCTCCCAACCGGCGCACTCTCCACTTCTGAACTGGCGTTTCCCTGCTCAAGGCTTGCGTCGCTCCTGCATCGCAGAACTAAGCCTGTAGGTTCCGACAGATTCTTCCCCAGCACTGTACCTATGCTAATTTGGCGTCCGTTGATTTCCGTACTTGCACTACGAGTAACACTCGTATACCGCATGTTGTCTGCAATTGCCTGTGAACGCGCCATCCATGTATCCGGGAGTTCGAATTCAGCGCTTTGAATTTGTTGAGTATCGACGGAGGGGTGTCGATCTGATCTCCAAACACGTCCTGGCTTCTATAAATCCACGTCTGCCTTGACAGGTAGACAACACGGAGTATGCAGCAATCACACGGCGAGGCATTGTCCGACTCCAGCAGGTAGCCGGGAGCCCATCAGAGATGTTAAAGGCTCATTTCAAGACATAAAGACAGTTTTCTAAATGATGATCAGCTCAAGGGAGTTTAAAGTGGAATGATGCTCACCGACCAGATCCCATCCGCTCAGGCGGCTACATGCTCTACCGAGCTAGCCTCCGCATGACGTGGCTTGGGCCATTTCGTCTCCGGCGCATCCCACAGCCCGAGCTCCCTTTTCAGCTCGTCCATGTCCTGCTCCCATCTCTTCTCCCAATATACCGTGATCAGGCTCTGTGCGCTGCTCCCACACTTGATTGCCCACGGCACGTACTCCCTGAATAGCCGGGCTCGCTTTGCTGAGCTGATGCGGAAGTGTCCAAACGCAGCGGCGAAGCCGGCCATGGGCAGCCCGAGGTTCGCGAACTCGAAGAACTTGACGGCGAGCTCAGACGTGACGTCGACGGGAAGGTTGACGAGGCAGTGGTAGAAGTCGTGCGACTCGCGATAGCGCTGCATCACATACGCAAGCTCGGGATCGTCCACATAGTGCGTCTGTACCCTCTGCTTTCAGTTTCCGCAAAGACATCTGGGAAATAGGCTCACTGGCTCGCGGGTGTCGGGCGTGACGTTGCATCGCTCCAGCCAGGTAAGATAAGTGCACCCGAACGTATTATGGGGAAGGGTTGCGAGGTAATTCATGTCGACGGTCTTCGTGTTGATGCGCGGCCTCTCTTTGAGGATCTGGCGCCCCTCCGGGCTCGCCAGCATCTGGTCCCGGAGCGTAGGAAGCACGGGCCCCGATGTGAGGTCTCCGACAGCAGCAACCATATCTGCGCCTTCTCTTCAATAATGTGTAGCGCATACAATAATTTCGCACGTACCATGTCGCGCAGGCGCAGTCAGGGCCATGTAGGATGCACCGGCAAGCATGAACGCATGTTCGAAGCAGTTCAGCGGGACATGTCCTGGGTACGAAGGTTGAGTCGAGTTGAAACGCCTCTGCAAAATATTATAGGCTAGAGCAGGCGACGTTGTCCTTGGTGTCCGTAGTAGACTTTGGGCGGCGCATTTCGCAAGGTGGTATCTGGACATGGCTCGGGGTTCGGGAGAGAGCCAGTGATGGCAAAAACTGACGCGTGACCGTCACAGATTAGCAGTCACCCCAAGCGCGTCTCATTGAGCGTCTAATCTAGTGATCTCCACGTACGATCTGGATCCCGAACGACAACAACCTGCCGCCGCACCTGCTCTCTTCACAGCTCTCGAATATCGCACTCGTCCCAAGATTAAAATTCACCGAGTGGATAAAGTTGAATATATACCGCTGGGAGGAGATCCTTGTGTTTTCGCCGTATGAAAAAAGGTACGTAGTTGCGCTCAGCACATTGTGATTTCGTGTCCAAAGAGCTGAATGCCATGCAGGCAGTCTAGCCGTTTTTTGAAAACTACAAGACAAAGAGGCGTGACACAATCCAAAGCGACAGCATAGATTTCATCAATCGTGCATTGTCCAGCTGGTGATTAATCAGCCGGCGTGGCCACTCTGCCCTCGCGTGGCGTTCCTCTTATACGGCCCGAGCGCACAGGTGTGTCTCTTGTGCTTACCACTATGTCCTCGAGCTTACCCCCTCCAAGGCGCTCAGCCCGTCTTCGCTCGGCCGGCGTTATCGTCCCCCGCGACCTCGTCGAGGGGGACACCGTTCCCTGTATCCTCGCCGTTACCACGAGACGACCCCCCGGCGGCCCACAAGACGCCGACGATCCCCACCCAACATCCTTTGTTGTCAGACATACCACTCCCATCCCGGAAGAGCCACTTCCGAACAAAGTTCCCGCGTCGCCGTTCATGCCAACCGCCGCGACCGACGCACTTGCGAAGAGTGGCGACAGCTCGCCACTCAAGTCCGTATCGTGGAGCTCGCAGACTGTGGCGCAGTTCGACGACAGATGTGTTCAAGTTGCTCTCAAAGAAATGAAGACGTTGATTGGCGGAAGGGAAGTGCAGGGCAGGGCCAAACGGAGACTCAAGAGCTTCCGTGGCGTCGATGTCGAAAACTTGCCGGACAATTCAGAGTCATCGAAGTATAGTCCAGTGGTCAGCCGCACATGTTATATTCCGGAGTGGCTCAGTCTCACCAGTGTGTACTACTCCCTGCAGTGCGAAATCTTCAATGCTGTAGAAGAAATTGCGAACTCCAACTACCGATGGAAAATAGTGGCGAATCACGGAGAAAGCAATGAAGTTGACCACAGACCTGACCTTGCGCGATATGTCATAAACATTAACGCGGCTAAGGCAGCATACGGTCGGAAAGTACGGAGGCCTGACGATTCGAACATTGCGCGCTGCGCGTGGGCATGGATGAGCAGTTTCGTCGAAATCAAGAACGAGGCTGAGGCTTCTGGGTTCCATTTCAGCGACACGAGAGATGAGAATGGGGAACTACTCTTCCTGCGAGACTCGGAAGACGGGAAGATTGCACGGGCGCAGTTCATCAAGTACGCGACGGAGGCCATGCTGCGCCAACACCGGACGCACTACTACTCCATCTACATCGCCGGCATGTCTGCCCGAGTTTTTCGCTGGGACAGAGTAGGCTGCTTGGTCACGGAGCCCATTGATCTTCGGCATGATTACAACGCCTTCCTTGATCTCCTTCATTGTCTCGCGACTGCGAACGACGACTACGGGGCTGACCAGACTGTCGAACGGGCCACAGAAGCGGACATCTTGCCTGTCAGGCTCTACGAGTCTGACAACGTCGACTTGGAAGAGTACCGTGACATGATGCTGGACGATCCAGAGGTATACCCCATCTACAAGGTGAGCGAGGACTGCTCAAACTCGTGCGCAAGACTGACCATGCTAGGTAAAATGCCCTGCGGTCTCCGTCGACGGCACCGACATAGAGGGCACCGAAAAGACGTATCTCGTTGGGCGATACGCGTTCGGTCACTACTCCATCTTCGGCCGTTGTACGAGGGGATACGCAGCGTTCAACCTTGAGGATAAGCGCTTCGTATGGTTCAAAGACCAATGGCGCTGTGTTACCCGGCCGTACACGGAACTGGACGCCTACGTTCGTCTCCACGCACATAACGTCTCCTTCATTGCGACGCCCGTTGCCGGCGGCGACATCGACGATCAGCTAACCATCAGCCAACAACACATGACGCATCTATCGGAAGAGTGGAGACCATCCGTACGTGTTCACACTCGCCTCGTCACGAAGGAGGTGGGGAAGCTGCTAGAGTCGTATACGGACTCACCGGATCTCCTACGCATATGCCGCCATGCTTTTATAGGTGAGTCGCCTCCGCCTCACTACATACGCATTCACTTACTCGCTTCTTCTAGCTCACCAAAGAGCATATCAGCTCGCCCGAATTCTGCATCGTGACATCAGCATAGGGAACATCATGATCAATGTGGAGACGGGTTATGGATTCTTAAATGATTGGGACTTATGCAAGTATCGGGAAGATCTGGAAAACAGTGTGGCCGCCTCTGAACCTTCCGGAATCTCGGTCAGTATCGCAAGTCTCTCCCCCTCTCTGCGTGCAACCTTAAGGTGACCTTTATTTGTAGGGGACATGGGCCTTTAAGTCGTCGTTCTCGCTTGAATACCCTCGCAAACCGCCAGAGCTGGCAGATGACATGGAGTCCTTCATCCACGTAATCACCTTCTTTGCATTCCGTTATCATCGTCATAAGGCTTCGCCGGTTGCTGAGAATACGGATAGCGAATCTTTTCAGAAGCAGGCTGCGTCAGAGAATAACGGTCTCATGGGCTTTATCAACGGCTTTTTCTACGAGCAACGTCGCGTCAGTCGCGGGTACTATCAAGGTGGCTCGATCAAGAGGGGGTACATCGAAACTGGCAAATCACCCGTTGCCCTGCTTCCTCTCCCCAATGGTCGCCGCCCGCTGATTGCGGAATTCCTCGACGGCGCATACCTGCTGCTTCGCGAGCACTATGAAGCCACAGAACCAGGTAGATACGATGAGTTTGCTGTGCAACAAAGTGACAATGCTTCTCCCGATGAGGTGGACGAATCTCCGCCAAATGGGCCACCTGAAGATTCAACATCAAAATCAGACGCCAAGAGATCCGTGCCTGTACCCAACGAAGAGGAGGAGGAAGCAATCTGTCTCAGGCTGCTCGCAGACGGCGGATGGAGACTGGGCGATGGCAGGAGAAGGCGTGCTGGAGCCTCGACCTCTTCGGTCAATCAACCGCGACGCGTATTGGACGATTACGAAGAGCTGGGCAAGCTGTTCGTGCTCATGTTCATGGACGAGAACGGCAAGAAGTTAGACCTAACGGGACTTCGCGATGACAAACGCTTCGACCAGTTCCGTTCGTGGCACGAATTTGGGTGGACGCAGCGGAAGGGCAAGAGTGGCGTGCACAGGACGCTACCTAGAGATAAGATCGGCTCGCAGCAGCTTGCGTCTCTGAAGCGACGCCGCGAGGACGAAGACGTGGCGGATACGGAGCCAGCCGCGAAAAGAGCGACCCCGCCATGTGACGATCTGGCAGCCCAGACGGGGAAGGCGTCGCTTACGAAGTTGAACACTCAAAGAAAGAGAGCGGCTGCTCCGCGCGCGAAAGCCGAGTCCAAGACGCAGAAGGCTACCGCTTCCCGGAAGCGTGCGACCTTGCGCAAGACAGTGAAGTTTGTAGAGCCGGAAATTCCTCTAACAGTAGCTTCTGTGAAGGCAGAGGTCACTCGGAAGATGGCCAGTACGGCGAAGATCGAGGTCGTTACAGGGACCCGGCGGTCCAAGCGTCTGGCTGAGAGGAGTTCTGGGGTTTGAGGATGAGTACCATTCAAGAGTCTTCCTACCTGGCACATTGCTGCGAAGGAGATACTGCGAGGGCTAAGGTCGTCGAGCTGGTCATGGACATTAACTGAGTCCCACCGTGCGGCGTATATGTCGCTCCTAGTCCTTGCCTGTACATACCATATTTATTCATATCTTAACGACACTTTCAAGTGTTATTGCCGTAAATTCACGTCGTGTTCAGCGGGGAGCTCTCGCCTTGGAAAGTAATCGTAAGCGCGCGAACACTGTAGTTGGCTCCTATTCATCCGTTCTCCGTTCTCATGACCTCCGCCCAGGTTCTGAGTGGCCCTAAGGCCCGCGCGGCTTTCAAGCTGATGTATTATACGTATAATTTATCTAAACACCGGAAATACAAGCTGTACAAGACTTCAATTGCGGAGCTTCTTCCTGAGTCAACGTATGAGTGCAATATAGAATGTCTATGTTTAGAGCCTTCTCAGGCTCAAACTAATTAATTGTCTGTCTGGTCACTGATTCCTCCCCCTTCTGGTTTGAGCGGTCGCGGCTTGCATTGCTAGATGGCCTTTTCTGGCTTGTAGTTTGCGTCTCGTTCTCGTTAACGTTATTAGTATATCGCCCATAAGCTCACCTCTGAAGTTATTCAGCCCGTCTTTCCACGATACGCTTCGTTCACTCCCTCAACACCAACTGGAGCCCCGAAATCGCTGGTGATTGTGGCGAAAGGTCCAAGCCTCAGTCGATGGTTTCAAGACCCTGATAGGTAGAAACGACGTTCGGCTCGTCGCGGAAACAGGGACAGAGCGATGTGCACGATGCGAAGCCTCAGGGCAAGTTAGTATTCATCAGGGAAAAATGACTTTGCTATATAGTATTACGAAGCTATTGTAGAGGTCGAAGCAGTCGAAGAATGGTCTCCCCTTCAGTAGCAAGCACCAAACACGTCCCTGCTCTGGAAGCACTTTTGTAGTAACCACTAGTCCCAGGAGCACTCTCGTAGCAACTCCGAGGCATAATTGTAGCTTGCCCCATGTAAGCAATATTGCACCTGGTATTGTAGCACTGTTGATCACCAATCGCCCATCTCATCATACAAGTATCATCAGAGCATTAATATTGAATAGTGCATTGACTATTTTACAGGGCTGTATTTACACAGAATGTCTTGTACTACCACTTGAATGAGCATGGGCAAACATTACATTAGTATGTATCACCTTGGGCACACAGCTAGGTGTGGCATGCTGAGGTAGCGCACGAGGACGGCGCCGGGCTGCGGTACTCCGGGGAAGAGCGCCGCGGGCAACACAAAGTCGGTGCCAGCAGCGGACACGTCCATGTGGTTGAAGAGCGCGAGTGCACGCACATGCACCATCGCCTGGTCGTAGACGGTGTAGCCACGTGCATAACGCTGTAGTTGCTTTGCGAGCCGTTTACGCCGAGGTCGAGGACGCGGCTCCTATTCGCGTTCACGGACGCTCCCGCTACTAGTAGGTCGCGTTCGCATCTGGAGAGTATGTATGTCACATTGCTCGTTTGTGTTTTCATGCCACCTGCGGCCGTATATTCACTACATGTTCCCTACAGTCTACATATAGTACACTGATCCACGCAGGCGTTGCTACACTAATGCTATGCTATCGCATCCGCAATACATCCTGAATATCATACAGAAGTAAGCGTCCATCCCCGAATCGTGCTAGGAGCGTGTGGCTGTGAGGTGGAAACTGGATGTCCCGGATATTCCCACTTTCTTCCTGTCCATCAAACTTTGCTAGAAATGCTCCTGACTTTGCATCGTACAGTTCGACATCCTTACCACCCCTGACACCGAAGGCGACGTATTCTCCATCTGGGGAGTACACCGCACAAAATGCCGGCTCTCCGAGCTTGAAGATTCGACGGAGTTGGCCTGTCCGTGAGTCGTAGGCGACGACTGCTGTGTCCGCGTCGCAGGCTGCCACCACCTCTGCCCCGTCAGAGGAGAACGCCACGGGTATCGAGAGCTTCTTCGGAGGATCAATCGTGAGCAGCTCCTCGCCGGTCGCCGCGCTCCAAATCTTCACTTGTCCAGGTGCATCCCAATGTGCGCCGGTGACTATGCGATCACCCTGGCGAGACACCGGCGAGAACCCGGCGATATGCTGTAATGTGATAGTACGTGTATATGTGCGGATGTCATAGATTTTATGGGATGTTTTTAGCTCGGCGTAGAGATACGAGTTGTCCGGGAGGAAGGTGAGCCTGTATATCTCGTCATCAATGCCGAAGGAATGTAGGCATACTCCACTGGAGGCATCCCAAATCTTCACGGACTTGTCGTCATCAGAACCGGTGGCGATGAGCGCACCATGATGATCATGTATGATGTTGCTCACTGGTCCACCGTGTCCTTCCAGGCGTAGAAGAACGCGGCCACGTCGAGTGTCCCACACAATAGCCGTCCCGTCGTCAGATCCAGAGACAAGAGTGTAATCGACGGGGGAAACTGAGAGGGCAGTAACCTCGTATTCATGGTCCTGGTGATGTAGACGTTGCACGAGTAGACCTTCGGATAGTCGCCATACGAGGACGTCATTACTCCGGAACGACGCCGCCAAAAGCTTGCCATCAGCCGACAAAGTAAAACATTCGCAACCTCGGGATGGATCTTGTGAATCAGCGAAGGTGAGCCGCTTCAATTTGAGAGACCGCATATCTGCATTTGAGGAGCCAGTGAAGACGTGTGCGTCCTCCAAGCGGCCGGCGCCGTCTACGGTGGCGTGCGGCCATTCGGCCAAATCGGACGCGGTGATGGTCCAACGAGCAAAAGCGAGTGCTCGCTCATGAGAGATAACATCTTCCATACATAATGATCCGACTATGCGGGGATACGCGTCAATGAGAGACTGTTACTGCTGGTAGGTGAGACTCACCCGCGCCGTCGACCTCTACCGGGGGCTGCATTCGACGAAGGTAGCTTGCGAAATCAACCACTGACTTGCCGCCCTAACGAAGAATGAGCCTTTTCGCCCTGGTCAGATGTATGCCACGACACGTACGACAATGCTCCAAACATCGTCATCGCTCGCAATAGCAGTCTCGACATTGCTTGTCTGTTGCCACACATCTCTTGCTTAGCACTACAATGCGATGAGATGAGCTACTGAGCAGAAATACCTCGAGTATATAGTCGAGAAGAACATCCAATGGATCAGGAACTTCGCCCTAGTGTCCCATTAATCAGTGTGTCTCGCAATGTACGATGATGGAAGGCGTACCTCACTCTCGAGTTCTATAATGTCCGTCTCATCGATATCTCCCACCTCTTGCGCCATGATTCCTTCCGCCGCCGAGCCACCTCTCCCACCTCCTGCATCCGGAAGCCGGTGGTAGCCCGCACCGGCGACGACTTCTCTTAGTATTCCAAGCCGTCTTTGCATCTTGTAGCGTCTCACGAAGACAGACTGGTCTCTCTCCGGCTCCGCAGGAATAAGATTGGGTGCGTTCGCAACGAGATTAGGCGCATTCGCATTCGCAGAGTAGTTTTTGCCCTGCCTTCGCACCGTCGGACCAGTCACAGAGCTCGCGCGGGATGCGCCCACGCCTAGTCCCGCAATGCCACCAGCTTGGCCTTTGAACGAGACACTGGAACTCGTGCTAGTGTTGCTGAGGGCGACCGTCGCCCAGTCGGCCTCGGTCTTGACCCAGCCAATAACCACGACAATACTGTCCCACTTGATATCGTGTCCAAGGACGCCCTTGGCGTACGCGAACCATTCTCCGTGGTGTCGAACAATATACTTTTTCAGGAATACATTCTCGAATATCGATTCGGCGTCCGCCTCGCTCTTCAATTCTAGAATCGCGCCTTGGGCTGCGTTGCACGCGTACTCCGCACTCAGAGTTGCAGATACATTGGCACTAGGCGCTCTACAGGCCTTTAATGAAATGGATTCGTCGAACGAGCAAGCGCACTCACATGTCCGCCGAAGCACTTCTCTGCTTGATCTCAACTCCATGGCTGTGATAGTGGGCGGGGACTAGCGGACGACGCCTGGGATCAAGCTTGAGCACACCTGGAGGTAGGGGTTCGGTAACCTTGAACGGCGGGTCCCAGAATACGACCTTCTTCTCAGATGCGGAGGTGTCGAGGTTGAAGAGTCTGATGAATGCGCCTCTGTGCACGAAACCGACGTCTCCAATCTGCGGCTCGCCTGACGCATGGGGTTCTGGATACCAGAGGGCGTGTCCCTGATAAAGCGTTGCGAGACAAGACGAGTATATTTCATCCGGAGCTGATGTTAAAGAGGGCGGCCGACGGAAGAGGAACATGAGGGGCGAGCTGGACGGCGTAGTACAGCTTGGCAGTATCGTTATGAGGGCGAAGACACACCCGCTGTGAGATCGATGACATGGAGGGTTCCAGCGCCATTAGCCCGAAATTTTCGCACGAAGAACGCGAATCCCCAAACCTTGAAGCTTGAGCAGCTCATTAGCCAGCTACGGCGTTCGGTGTCATACGTACTACATCACTGTAGCATGCAGCGCGGATGAGGCGAGACTCTGGACCTAAGTACGAAGTCTCGCTGTGTTATCGCCCTTGCCTGTGCGTCGCTGTTGCTGCACGACTTCTCAGAACTCAGGCGTCTACTGCATTTCTTGGCGCTTGAGTCGCGGTCATGTGCGTATCACGTGGACAGTCCATCGGACAATAGTCGGGGCATTTCGCAGGGTCTACAACGTCGTGACTCTGCGGTGGCCCCGCCGCCCTGTGAAGTGCCCTCGACCTGCAGTCAATTTTCTCGGATCAATATAGGGCAAATTTCTTTAGCAGTTCAATGTTATGACGGACATCTCTGTAACCCCTTCACGTCTTCCAGCACGTCGACCGGTATGGAAGCAGATATGCCTATATCTTGCAGAAAATTCGCTCTCTCATGATTCAAATGACTGGCTGTTTCTGCTCCTAGCGAGCTGTGTCGCATCCTGGGAGAAGTATGTCGGTTTTTTGGACGTCGTCCAATGTTCTCGTCGGTCTGACGCCGGTTCACAGGAGCAGTGAAGATCACAGGAGATAGAATTTCTTAGCCCCATGCGTGACGGTGCATCCAAAAATAGCTTAGAAGAGCTCGCCATCGAATACATTAATTATTAAGCGAGATAGTGGTATATAACTCCTCTGATGGGGCTAAGATGTTATCGTGGATACAGGCCAACTGGCATCGTGCTGGAACAAGAGGAAGGGCTTATATGCAGTTTGTCTACTCTCTCTCTCTCTCTGGTGCTTCTAGGTTTTTCTCATCTGACCCGCGCCCTTCCAGCATGTCGTCGCAAAAGCTTAAGCGAGTCGTGCCAATCCTTCCTACCTTCGAGCCCGTCGCGACCGGGGAAGGCTGCATCGCCTTCGCCGCCTCCTGGAGCGCAATGACAAGCGTCGGACACTCACAGCGAGATGACCAAGCTATTTTGTTCTATAATAGTCAACCATTCCACAGGTAGTCACCTCAATCTTGAGCGACTGCAATCCCTTGGCTCGCGACTAAGCAATCATCAGTAAAATGGTATCCCCTTGAGGTCTGTCTTGGTCTTAAGGAGCCGTTTTGGGCTTGAGTCTCCGCAGGCGCCTGCTGACCACGCTGGCGATTGTTAGCCCTTTCATTGCATCCCACATGGCGACTACAACGACTCCGACAACGAATGCACCGACGACGCATACTCCAACGAGGAGCCTTAGGGTATTCTGCACACGCCACCCTCGGCTGGCTTCGCAATGCCGTCTGTTCGGATAGGCATTACTGGACTTGTAACTCGATGGTGCCCTCGCACGAAGGAAAAATAAGCTCCGATCAAGGAAACCGCGCCTGAGCTTGAGCCGCCGCCGCCGCGGCGCCCCTCATTCCATTTCCTGGATGCCCTACGCCGCCTGCCAGCGGTCTCCGGGCTCCGTTTTGCGACTCCTCGAGTTATGAATCTCGTTCACTCCGAAACATCTCCCTTCTGGATATTACAGGAATGACCTTCCGAGAAGACAGGCTTAGTTCATCAGGAAAACATCTTAGGTCCACAATGCTACAGAGTGCTACAGGAGCATTTTGGAGCACTATGGGCCCAAGTCCTGTTTCCTGATGTTAAGAGCAATCAATTAATCAAAAAAACAGCTTGAGAGTAAAGGCACGGACTATCCTACGCTCCCTATGTCCGCAATTTTTGTCTGTAACATTCATTATTGGCGCTGTGGAGACGCTTTTATGTATTTGTCATTCCTAAGGCATCGTAGTACATGATACCTCTGAATCTTTGATACAAGCGCCAACTTCTTTTTCAGGAATCGCGCCGGTAATTTCCGGAACCTTTGTGGCAACCAAGTTGATCGTCGAAGCCAAGGTTCCATTGCTCCTCAAAACAGTGTTTGGGTTTGGCTCTTAGTATAATAAAACCAAACGGAAGTCAAAATTGCCGAGGAATAGATCTAGCGTGGTTTACTGGCTAGTGGCCCAAGGTGTGTCCCCCTCCGTGTCTCTGCCGTCGCGGCCGCAGTTGACTAGGCTTGTCCCGCCCTATAAGTGTATAACGACTCACATAACATCCAAGAAAGAAGCGCCTATTATTGGCACCGAAATCGTCGATCGAGGGTCTGACCGACAGTACTAGTAGGGTGGTCTCGTCGTCCGTCGCTGCGACAACTCTCAGCAAGCTTTCGACGACCCGTTCATCTTTCGTTTTCGAGAGAGGAAGAACCCATTGCTATTGCTGGAGAAAGCCATTCCCGTGTACGTGGTAGTCTATGAAGGCTAGTATACCTCAAGGCTCGGAGCTGACCATCATTTGGGTAGTCTAGCCGCTTTTGTTTGTTTGTATCGCGTAGATAAAGTCTCACTATCGGTCGTACCATCAAGACATCAACTGTGCTTTGGCCAGTCGACGATCGATCCGCCGGCGTGGCCACAGGCTCACGTGAGCGCTTATCATATAAGGTCCAGGCTTAACAGAAGTGAGTGGCCCACCTTCGACCACCATGATCCCAGACTCACGAGCCACCAGGCGGTCTCACCGTCTTCTCAAGGGGTCGGCTCTCGTCGGCCCCGGAACTCCCCCCGCCGTCATCGCGACGACAAGACCTTCCTCTCCTGCTCAACATCAAGGCGCCACCGGTCTGCACTCCTTCTCAACGTCCGCAAATCCACCACCCGACGGTGCTATTGTAGACGAAGATTTTATCCCTTCCATACTTGTTACCACTGTCAGACGACCAGGAAAGAAGAAAGCTGACGCCGAAGACGATCAGCTTGCATTCGTTCCGCGGTACACCACTCCCGTTCGGGAAGACCCCGAGGAGGCCAAGAAGCACACTCTTGTTTCACCCAAGATGGCTCTGCCAGAATCTGATCCGCTTGTGCGCAAAAATGGGGGCTCGCCGATGAAGTCGCTCTCGTGGAGTGAGCAGACGGTCAACCACGTCGACGATCGCTGCGTGCAGATGGCCATCGGAGAAATGAAGCGGCGGATACCGGGGAAGGATATCGACGACAAGCAGTGGAAGAAACTTCGGCCTAGATCATTTAGGGGGATTGACATAAAAAACTTGCTTGACAATTCAGAGTCGAGGAAGTACGTGCCGCTGGTAAGTGTGTGTGTATACCCGTAGGCTCTCGGGACGCTGAGTATTCCCCCCTCCTTGCAGTGTGATATATTCAATGCCGTCGAAGAACTCGCAGGGTCGAGGTACAGATGGAAGATCGTCGCGGATCACGCCGAGAGCGCAGAGGTTGATCATAGGCCTGACTTGGCAAGATATCCTCTAGACATTCCGGCCGCCTCGGCAATGTACACCCACAAGGTGGGAAAGGACGACCCCAACATCGCGCGTTGTGCGTGGGCATGGATGAGTAGCCTCGTTGAAGTCAAGAACTCAGACGAGAACTCCGCTTTTCACTTCCTCCCTAGCAAGGACCAAGCAGGGGAACAGAAGTTTTTGCGAGACAGCGACGTTGGTCGGAAAACCCGTGCTCAGTTCATCAAGTACGCCATTGAGGGGATGCTGCGTCAGCATCGCACTCACTTCTACACATTCTACTTTTCCGGGATGTACGCACGTGTGTTTCGCTGGGACCGAGTGGGATGCATCGCCTCGGAACCCATCGATCTCGAGAAGAACGCGAAGCAGTTTCTCAACATCCTTTATCGACTGGCTACGTCCACAGACGACTACGGAAGCGATAACACTGTACAGCTCGCCTCCCAGAAGGATATCTCCCTTGTCGAGGCTTACGATCCCGAAGGCAACGAGTACTTACAGGAATACAAGGACATGATGTTGAAGGACCGCCTCTATTATCCGATATATAAGGTGAGTTTATCCAGGACAGTCCTGCTGACGTGTTTAACACCAGAGCACAGGTTTCTCTACCGGCTGTATTCATCGGAGGCGAGAAGACGCACGACGACGGAGAGCGATGCTACCTCATCGGTCGATATGCTTTTGGCCATTACTCGCCCGTCGGTCGGTGTACTAGAGGTTACGCTGCCTTCGACCTTCAGACCAAACGCCTAGCCTGGCTGAAGGACCAGTGGCGATGTATCGCTCGGCCGCACACCGAGCTTGATGCCTACATTCGTCTCCACAAGCACGGCGTATCCTATATTGCGACGCCTATCGCTGGCGGCGACATTGACGAGCATCGTACGGTCAGTCAGGGCTACATGACCCATTTGTCGGCAGACTGGCGACCGTCAGAACGAGTCCACACACGTCTAGTGACGAAAGAAGTGGGGAGAGTCTTGGAGAGCTATGCCGACTCGGCAGAACTGCTAAGAGTATGCGGCGAGGCATTTATTGGTGAGCTACCCTTAACGTTTGACAGAATTTCAGATTGTGTTAAGATTCGTTGGTCAGGTCATAGGCAAGCCTACGAAATCGCCAGAATCCTCCACCGTGACGTGAGCATCGGCAATATCATGATCAATGCAGAAACTCGGAAAGGGTTTCTGAACGATTGGGACCTATGCAAATACCGCGAAGATATGGATAGCATGGTTCCGGCATCAGAGCCTTCTGGTATATCCGTATGTCGTTCTCCACTGTCTAATGCTATGACATGTATGAACTTTGCGCAGGGCACCTGGGCGTTCAAATCCGCCCTATCTTTGCGCTACCCTCGAAAACCTCCCTCCCTGGCCGATGACCTAGAAGCATTTGTTCATGTCATCCTTTGGTTTGCCTGTCGGTTCCATCTCCACGACCATTCTCCTGATCCCGAAGACTCTTCGAAAGCGGCCTGCATCAAGGCCAACGTCGACAATCCTGCTCTCCTGAGCATGGTCTACGTCTTCTTTTATTTTCAGAAACGCGTCGGCGGCGGCTACTATAAGGGTGGCGCGGCCAAGTACAAGGCAATCTTGCGCGGCGAGCCTCCGATTACTTTCGAGGCTCTCGAGGACGGTCGTCTGCCTCTTCTCGGCAAGTTCCTCCTCCACGCATACAAGCTCCTCTCAGAACACTACTGGGCTATGGACCAAGCAGAGATGGAGCAGTGGGATGTTAGACCGGGCGATCGCGTGTCTCCGGACGAGATAGAAGTGGTCCGACCCGCCCCAGTCGCAGTACGGGCCGCAAGCAGCGAGGACGAAGACGAGGACGAGGAGCTCGAGTCCTACCTTGACGCGTACGTGGAGCAATACGATGACGACGAATTCGAGCTGGAGCTCGAGGCTGAGATCGCGCAGGCCAAGAAAATGAACTGTCCCTTCCGCAACCCCCGGAGGGTGCTCGAAGGCCACGCTGCGCTAGGCACACTGTTCATCCGGATGTTCCGTGAGAAAGGTGGGGAGAAGGTCGACCTCCGTGGCTTGCGCGACGACAAGCGTTTCGACCAGTTCCTGAGCTGGAAAATGCTCTGCTTCCTGAACCAGCCCGGACCGACCGGCAAACCTTTGAAGCTCGCGCTGATGAAGTCATCCGCCGAGAAGGACAAGCGCAAGCGTAGCGCTGAAGATTCTCCTGAGGACGAGTTACCTCGAAAGAGAAACAGGGCGACGATCGCCAATGAAGTCGCGAAGACTCAAACGCCTCCTCCCTGGAAACGCTCGCGCCCAGGCTCCCGGAAGCTTACTGCCAAGCCGCAGCCCAAGAATACTGGGAAGGCTGCTGTGCGCAAAGCAGAGACCACCAGACGACATAGAAGCCCTCGGGATGTAGCTGCCATGAAAGCTGAAACGGCTGGGCGACCAAGGCCCTTCAGCACGGCTAAGGTTGTCGAGCCGTCGTTGCCTCTCCGTCGATCTACTCGGCTGGCTGCAAAAGACAAGGATCGCCAGGGGCCACCATGATGCTTGTGAATTCCCGCCAGTGCCCATCTGCACTTACTCAATTTATTCATATTTCAATGATTGCTTTTGCTGCAATTTATTTTGTGCTGAGCAAGGCGATCCCCGTCTGCCAAATTGTTCTTAAGGCCGCTCTATCGCCGAAGGCAGCAATATTTCGGTGTCCGCCAATTACTCGGAAGGCGGTGACCTGGTCACCCGGAAGGGAGCTGCCTCTACGAGGGAGGAAGTCTCCCAGAGAGCGGCGTGAACGCGACACGCTGACGGCCCATGCGTCTGGCCGGGAGAGAAGTTATTGACCGATAGATTTCGACTTACAACCCTGCGTCAGTCGATGGACTACATTCTCAGGCTAGAGCTCTACAAGACAACTGTGCAGTTGTATACGTGTTTTTTATATCTGCTTGATCGTATCACGTACCGGTGTAGGCTGAGCTCAAGCTCTTCAGGTAAATGTACAAAGTACTGCGCCCGGCGCCACCGGCTGGCGCCAACTTGAAGGCGATCTCTTTGTGGCGCCCACGGCTCCGCGCTCAGTATTAGTACTGTAACTCTCAGACTTCTTAGGCTGTTCTCAGGCGATGTTCGATGTTCAATAACTAAAATCACGAAATCGCCGAGGATTATCATATTAACCCGTGGGACATGAGCGGATGCAAAGCTTCTCTGGTTCGTACAACATTGGAAATCCAATCTGCAAAAATCATAGAATGCATAATAAAATAACAATTATGTGCTGTACATCCAACTACGTTGGGCTTCAGTCAGACTGAGCAAATCAGAGCGTCAGCCGAGAAAAAATTGATCATGCAGTATGCTATGGATGTGGTCTAACCCTGCGTCGCGATAGTCGTGCTCGAGTGGCGTCTTCGCCGAGGGGACTCGCGGGAGCAGATATAAAAATTATCGACAAGAGCATGAGGAATAGAGCGTGTCTCGCTCCAGTCATTTGCAACGACATGTCTATCGGCGATTGATGAGTACAACCTTTATCTCAAAGCCGGCATATTCTTACCTCAGCGTACAGTGGAGCGCGCTCAAATTTGTGTGAGATAGACTGTCTTTATTCAGTATATCTAAACAAGCTGTCAGTATTCACGGAAGTTGTCACCAACTTGAACCAAGCTGCACTCACATCTGGGGGTCTGGAGAGAGGGGGAAGCTGTCGTGTGTGTCCCAGGGGGCTTTGTCCTTACTGCCTACTTCACAGGCAGCGTCTCGAGTCGGACCTCATGTGGGTATCCTAGTGCAGCTATGGTGCATTCCTAAAATAAGGTAGGTTTGTGCTAATGCAGGCTCTTCCGACTGCGCACCGTTCATTTAATTCCAAATAATCTCGCTGCATCACGCGACAGCGCGGCTATTTTACCGGTCACTTGTCGCCGCCCGGTCCCGGACCGGCGAGGGGTCTGCCGCATATGTTATCGGCTCAGTATGCACCAGAGAGCGGCGCCATGAGCTGCACGGGGCGCTCCTGCGAGGGTGCCCAACATAGGCAGCGGCTTGTTATTCGCAATTGCTACATTTGAGCGCTAAGTGTGAAATGACGTAAGCGAGAAAAGTCAGCGCGTGCTCCTTTGCTGGAACGAACGACCGTCGGCGCAGCAGCTGCAGTGGCCGACAAGCCCATATCCTGGTGCAATGGCTTTGCCAAGTCCACAAGTGCCGCCTCTTCTCCTTGCTCTGCTGTCCTGTGCAGCAGAACGGTCTCATACGGTGCCCCACCTGCTCGTCGCCACCGATTTTCGCGGAAGTACAGTAGAGTTCTGTACATCCGGCTTGAGCTGGCGCGAAACTATCTCATCATGCTTGCAGAGGCTTGCAGCCGCTCCAAATCGGTGGAGATCATGTGCACATGTTGCGTTGTATTCGTGAGACATAACAGCGCGACGGCGCTGGTCGTCAGTGCACATCTTCCCTGCTGGGCCTGCTGTACATTGCAAACTCGCGTAGGCCCACATACTACATATTCTGCTACGGAGACAGTCGCCGGCAATACTGGCCGCGGTAAGTACCTACCTCCGAGGAAGGGACATACTTAGCAGAATAACCCACCTGCTATTTTCTAGCATCAAGAGCTACAACGTCACTCCCGCTCCCGGCAATCAAGCTTTCAAGAGCTCAAATCAACAACAACATACCTGCGCGCCCCGTCTAAGAAGCTAGAACACAGGCTAATCCCGGCCTGCAGAGCTCGCCAAGTGTCCTGATTCGCCAACGCCAACGCCACACACCCACCCTGCGCCCTATCTTTAGTACGTCATCCATATGGTCTTTCAGTTCATTTGAACATGACGGCAGCTTCGTCCGCAGTTCCGACGCGCGGGATGTGAGCGCCACGAGCTGCATTGCGCCGCTCGGTCACTGGGAAATGACGGATGCGTTAATTTCTCTGCGTACAGAGCGCGCGGTGCGTCTTCGCTAAGCAGCCTAGTGTCCCGCTTCTGCCCGTGCTGCACTGCGAATTCCGAATTGTGGCTGCCTATGAGCAGTTGCCTGCACCAAGTCGACATCGCGAAAGAGTGCTCAGTGATGGTCTGCTAAGAGTATAAAAGTCAGCGAGTGTCCCTCGGCATCCTCAGCAGACCGACACCTCCATCGCATCTCTACTACTGTTCTCAATCGCCTTCGCCCCATTCGACATCGCCTAGCTCGACATGTCTCTCAAGAACCTCCTCATCTTTGTGACCTGCGCACTCCTTGCGTCCCACGGCACCGCCGCACCAGCGGCCGTGTCGGTGGCCTCGCTGTCCGCCAGTTCCTCAATGGCCTCCGAGTCCTCTTCGTCGCTCGCGTACTATTCCAGTACTGCCTCTGAGGGAGTAGCCTGGTCGTCCTCCGAGAACGAACCCTCGTCTACCTCGTCCGCACCGCCGGTCTACGAAACGGTTGCGCCTGCGTCGGACGATCCCAACTACGTTGCTTGGACCCCCGACTACACCGGCACGCCCGAGGCAATTCGCGGCTCCCTCGGTGCGACGGTCATCGGTCCCCAAAACGTGCCGCTTGACCTTGAGAACCCGGACTTCCTGGCGCCGCCTACGACTGACAATGGCGAAGTGTACGTAACTTCCCTTGGCTAGGTTATTTCCTTCGAAAGATACTAACTATAAATGTATTCTGTAGACCTAACGCCAAATGGCCGTTCAGCATGAGCCACAACCGCCTCCAGACTGGCGGATGGGCTCGTCAGCAGAACAGTGAGTATCTCTGCTTGCGTATGAGCACAGAATCGTGACTGAGCATGTGACTGCACTAGTCAACCAGCTGCCTGCCGCCACCGAGTTGGCCGGAGTTGACATGCGCCTCGAGGCCGGCGCCATTCGGTAAGCCACTGTTTGACAGCAAACATGTTCTTTTTCGGCTAAAATCGTCTCGTAAAGCGAACTGCACTGGCACACCGCTTCGGAGTGGGCATACGTGACCAAGGTGAGCGCCAGGAATCGGAGCCACCCTCAGAGAGTTATGTTCTGAAATCTACATTTCAGGGCTCTGTGCAAGTGACGGCCGTTAACCAGCTCGGTCAGAACTTTGTCGGAACTGCAGTACGTATTACAGCGATGTATTTTTGGGTTGCTCATTCTGATGCTATTTTTGTCCACAGAACCAGGGCGACCTGTGGTTCTTCCCGGCCGGCGTTCCCCACTCCCTTCAGGCCACGAACGCAACTGAGGATGGCGCCGAGTTTCTCCTGGTCAGTCGTGGTCTCGAGCTATTTTCGAACAGAAGCTGATTGGTTGCGCTCTCCAGGTCTTCGACAACGGCAGCTTCGACGAAGACGGCACGTTCCTCATCACCGACTGGCTCGCACACACCCCGAAGGAAGTCATCGCAAAAAATTTCCAGGCCCCCATCTCCGTGTTCAATGAGCTTCCGGACGAGGAGCTCTACATCTTCCCTGCTGGTGCGTGCGCCTTTCCTCCATCTGAAAGTCTGATAAGACTGAACGCGCCCCACCAGCGTCCCCGGGTCCGGACTCGGACGCGCCGGTGAGCCCGTACGGCACCGTGCCGAGCTCGTACACGTTCGCGATGTCCCAGATGCCTGCGACCGAGCTCTCGGGAGGGTCTGTCAAGATCGTGGACTCGCATGTGTTCAACATCTCGAAGACGACGGCTGTCGCAGAGGTGACGGTCAACCCTGGCGGGATGCGCGAGCTGCACTGGCACCCGACTCAGGACGAGTGGACGTACTTCCTGTGGGTCGCCTGGTCATGTACATGTGCTGATTGATGCTGAACGGGGAATGCAGGGAGGGGAATGCGCGTGTCACGGTGTTTGCATCCGAGGGTAATGCGGGGACGTTCAACTTCCAGGGCGGCGACATTGGTACGTATCCGTTGCAAAGAAACGCAAGCAAAAACTTATTACAGATCAAATTAGGCTATATCCCCGCAGCGCACGGCCATTACGTTGAGAACATCGGCAACACGACGCTCCGCTTCCTCGAAGTCTTCAAGACCGCGACCTTCCAGGACGTCAGCTTGAGTCAGGTATGAGCCTCTCCAAATGCGCATTGATCGGGACGCGCTCTAAGACTTCGTATTTGCAGTGGCTTGCTCTCACACCCCCAGCGATGATCGAGGCTACACTCAACATCAAGGCCGAGGACCTCAAGTACTTCAGCAAAACCAAGCCTATCGTCGTCGGCCCCGCTCCGGTCAACAACACGACAAACGGCACCGCCGCTGCATGAAAGCCCGCTGAACGTTCGGTTGCCATAGAATTAATAGAGACGCTGACTTCTGTTAGCGTGATGCTGCGGTCGTGCCTCCCGTACGTGTAGCGCTGTATCGTGTAGTTCTTGTAGTGTACCATATGGCTTGTAATTTGAAAGTATTGAATCGGGACCTGTTCGCTTGCTCCGCTCTATTCCCTCGTAAAAAGCTCAAGGCAAGCTCATTATCGTCACTATGACTCGACCTTAGTCCTGTGAACTAATAACGATGACGGTGGGTCTCGGAGGTGCAGCTCCAGTATCAGCAGTTCACAAGCACACGCAATCCATTTCCCGGATCCCGGTCGAATACAATCTCGTCTGACCCTGACTTCTGTCTTGGCATCGTCAAAAGAATGTAATAGAAGTCGACGAGCAGACTTCGCAATTGCATGCCCGTTCGTTCCCGCCGATCGTCGAAGTGCACAAGCCAATCTCACACCTGTCATGTTCCATGATCCGACGCTGAACGTATTTGCATCGCTACTCCAATACGCATAACGGGGTATAATACGATCAGACCACACCGGGCGTCACCTCTGCCTCTCGCTCTCGGCGCTTCTCGCGCTCTCGCCGCTCGCTGGGCCGCGGCGTCGACGGTGTCACCGGAGACACGCCGAGAGCCTTCTCCCTAGTCTTTGTCTGCCGGAAGCATAGGAACTCGATGCCTGTCGCGCGGCGCGCCTCCGCGAGCGTCTTCTTGACGCCGTCGAGGTGTGTCTGCAGGTTCTCGTCGCCGGACTTGCGCGCGTAGGCCTGCGAGATCCTGTTGTACAGCTCCGCGAGTGTCTTAGCCGCCGCTGGTGTCACGTAGCGCGAGAGCGTCTGGTGCACGAACTCGATCTCGAGCGTTGCCTGTCCTCGTATGTCAGAACTTTCGGCATCGAGCGAGAGAGAACGAGGGAATTGCGTACGCGTAACATTCCGCCCATGCCGAACTTCTTAACCTGGCGGAAGCAGCGCAGAGCTTCTTCTGCAACGTCCTCGACTAGCGCGTTAAGCGTTCGATCTAACAGCGGGGCTGCCGCTGCGCTGACTTGCGCATGCACGCCGACGAGATATACAAGAGTCTCAAAGACATATGATCGAATCTCTGCATGCCAGCGTCAGTCGCGGACAGGTACGAACGGGTGGTTAAAACAGACCTTTCGGCTGTGGCGTCTCGTACCAGTCCATCGCGGGGTCCAGAATTCCTGTGCGGATGATACCCATCAGAGCGGTCGCCTTCGGCCTGACGTAGCTTTCGAACAGGGTTTTGTCCAGCTCCGCCACGACCGCCGACAATGTCTATAATACAACGTCAGTGCAAGCTGACCACCATCGCATTGATGCACAATACTTGTAGTTCCTCCTGTATCGAGATATTAAATGCATTCTCGAGCTCGTTGATCATAGCGGGAATGACAGCCTTAGAGAGGTGGCCGAAGTTGGAGACTACCAATAATAATCGTGTGTCCTACAGCAATCATCAATGGAGATTTGTTTTATGTCAAGCAAAAAACTTACTGAATCCGATACGTCCAGCAACTCTAAAGGATTTGGCTCGTTGATAGCGTTGACGTCCGACGCGCCCTTCAATGCGGCAGTTTTGGGCGACTCATCGGACGCAAGATGAACCATACCATCCAGAAACGCGTACACGGTATCCAAGAAGGCCTTGGTTATCCTCGATACGAATGTCTGCGGCACTGGATTCTGCTTGACAAGTCGAGATGTCGAAGCCGCCGCGCTTGAAAGATCGACACCGCCGGCAATTCTAAAAGCGCCTGTAGTGACATGACGTTGAAAGAGGCGAATCTGGGAGAGGTAGGTGGTAATGTGTGGTTCCGTGGTCGAGCCACGCCAGTTCTCGAGAAGGTAAAAAATATTTGCATCTGCAGAAGCCAAGTGAGCCGTTATTCAAATTTATGAAATCTGAAATCTATCGTACCCCGCACCCAAGCTTGGACAAGCAATTCGTCGAACTTCCACCTTGCGCTTTCCAGTAGGCTCTTCAAACTTGAAGTAGATTCCGAAGAGATCTCCATACTGCTGACTTCATTGGCAGAATCTTGTATCTCACCAAGGATCTTCGTGAGATGGTACATTGTTGTGAGCGTGTTCGAATTCCTGGGGAGCATCGGCGGCGCAGGGCTAGAGCTTAAGCCAGGAGACATCACAACCTCGGAGAACGTGAAGAATTCAGAAAGAAGGGTGATGTACTGCCTGATGATATCGAGGGCCATGGTGCGACATTGTGACGGACTTCGCCTGGAGTGACTGGTGACGTTCTGGGCAACGCGTGAGCATCCGAAGTTTAAAGATGGCGCTTATCATGCACACCTTCCGGTATTTGCCGTCCAGAAACGCGGTGGAGATCTTCCAAAAGTTAGGAAGCGTACTGAGCATGACTTCAGACGTGCTCTTGACCATGTTAAGCACAGCCTGCCACACTTCATGGCCGCCTGCTTCAGCTAAGCAAGAGTCAGTGCCGTGCACGACAGTACGCTCATGTTCTTACCGATAACTGCATCCGCTTGCTTTGAATCAAGCGCATTCATACATATCCTCAGTTGAGAGGCAAGTAACTCCGTGAGTTTGTCAGGCGCCGAAGAATGATCAGTGGGCTTGTCATGTAGCGCTATATAGCGCCGGTGAGCCGCAATGACGAGATTCGGCTGGTGATGAACATACCTTTGATTACAGCTACCGAAGCGTCGTACGTTTCTCGCATTTGAGTCATGGTGTGCTTATGCCGAGCATCGAGGTATGACCACACAGGCTCCTCATTGGGGCTGAGTTCCATCAGAATTCTGCGTGTAGCAATAGTCAATCGTATTCATATACGAAATAGGTCAACAACTTACTCGAGCGTTTTCTCTTGTTCCTCTACGCTTCGTGATGGTTCTTGTAGCTTGACGTGTAGCTGATTTCGCATCTCGCCCATGACGCGCTCCACTGCCAACCAGACTTTCTCCAACATTCGTTTCTGCTGCTGCTGCGCTGCTAGTGATGCTTGACCGTCCTTTGTCGAACCTATAGGCAGCAGTTGCCCTGGCCGGGACTCCATCATGAATTTGCCTTTCTTGTAGTCTCGTAATGCTGCCTCATACCGGCCCTAGACGGTGCGTTAGAGATGACATATACTGATGCAACGTCCACTCGCACCACTTCAATAGACTCCATGAGAGAGCTTGGGAGATTGAAGAAGAACCGCGAGCGATCGAATACACCCAGAGTTGTCCGCAGCTTCTGTGCTTTGAGAGAGTTCTCCAGGACGGGCAAGAAGACTTGATCGGCTTTCTGAGCACCAGCTGTCACTCGTTTTAGGACTTATCCAGCTGATACAGTCGAGGACATACCCTTCAAGTGGTCGCGGAGCTGTCTCGTCCCATGCTCGCTGCCTTCGACAAGGAGGCCTTCGCGCATTTCAGCGTAAAGAGCTGTGCAAGCATGAGTTTCAACAAAATGCAGCCACATTTTCGAAAAAACTTGCCATCTGTAGACGCTTTGACAGCAACAAACCTATCAAAGTTCTCTTCAACGAGTACTCGGATGGCTTCTGAACGCGAGTCGATAGCGGTCTTGAGGCGAGAGATGCCGGCGGAGAGGTCCTGATACGTCGCGTTCGGGTGCACGGCCGACAGGAAGGTCTTCGGCTTGAACGACTTGGACGAGATGAGCACCGAAGCCTCTGTGTCACACCATTAGGCCCGTCTCGCTTCGGGTGCGCACGACGCCACTAACTGGTCTCAGAGTCCATATTGCGGAGTCTGTGCTAGGTTAACATACACGAAACAGCGTGGACTCTCTTGACGCACTCTACTGTCGACTTGAGGCCGAGTGGGTCATTCTCGTACTCAATCCCACCACTAGAAGGGCTCATAAGCATAGCGTCGTCCAGGTCATCGCCCACTTCTTCCCACTGCCTAGATCCGTTTCAGCAGGTCTATCAAGTAGAATGCTCACGAAACGTTACTTTGGGGAAGACGTAGAGAGCTTATATGCCTTCAGAAGGTCTCCATCATCCACATCGAAGTTGAGCTTTGTCATTTCAGTTCACGCGCATTCGGGGGATGACACCCGGCGAAAATGGCACTACCTGTTGAGATAGGTCTTGTCTCCACGCTATGGTCGCACCCTGCTGTCCTAGAGAAAAATCGCGAAATAACGAGGTATATTCTGGCGTATACAGCCGTGAAAATTGGTAAGGTGAGTGCGTGGTGGTGGAGGTTGTTGGACGAGATGCGTCGAGTCCGCGTCTGGTCTCCGCCTCGGGAGCGTGAGAAAATGTGAATTGAAATATTAATAACGCGAGGAAATGTGGAACGACCCCTTGTCTCCGACCAGCCTCCTTCACGTCCGCCATGTCAATGTCCAAGCGTATTCGCATCTACACCGCTGAGGACGTCGCCGAGCATCACTCTACGACGAGCTGCTGGGTCACCCGTGGTGGTAAAGTCTACGACATCACAAAGTTCCTCGATGACCATCCGGGAGGAGACGAAATCGTCTTGAAGTATGCCGGCCTGGATGTCGGCGAGATCATGAAGGACACTCTCGAGCACGAGCACTCGGATTCCGCCTACGACATGCTCGAAGAATTCATCATTGGTCGCCTGGGCACAGGCGAAGCTGTGGTCAGCGACGACTGGGAAGCGACGGATGACTTCGAGCCCGAAGAGACGGACGCGACCAGGGACTTTGAGAAGAATCAGTTCCTCGACCTACGCAGGCCGTTACTCAGGCAAGTTTGGGCGGCCAGCTGGAGCAAGTCGTACTACCTTATCCAGGTGCACCAGCCTCGACACCTTGTGGATTCCGCGCCGTTATTTGGCTCTTCCTTCCTTGATGTATGTCTGTGCGTCTTACTTCTCATACTTGCGCTTACGTCCTGCTAGGTTTTCACCAAAACGGCCTGGTATGTTGTCCCTACCCTCTGGCTGCCCATCGCCCTCTATCTTTATCTCCGCTCTTCCGTACAATTCACGCTCGGTAACAACGCCTTGCCTCCGTTCTATGAGGATCCGAGTGCTCCTCTCCGTATATTGCTTAGGATCGGCATTCCCGCCTCTACCTTCGCCAAGACGACTGTTTGCTTCCTCTTTGGCAATCTTGTCTGGACCTTCCTCGAGTATACCCTTCACCGCTTCCTATTCCACCTCGATTACTACCTGCCGGATCACTATACCTGCCTCACGTTGCACTTCCTGCTGCATGGTATTCATCACTACTTGCCTATGGATAGGTGCGTGACTGCGAGCATACTAGAGCCGACACTGTCTGACAAGCGAATCACAGGCTGAGATTGGTCATGCCTCCAGTGTTGTTCGCAGCTCTTTCCTATCCATTCACGCAGCTTGCCCATCTCCTGTTCCCTGCTGCCGTAGCTAATGGCATCATTACTGGATCCTATACATTCTGTAAGTTGCCATATGCCAAGGCACGATTCCTGCGCTTACACCCCTTATTACAGACGTGTTGTATGACTGCATGCACTACGCGTAAGTCCTAGTCACATTACCGGGCGTATGACAGCTGCTGATACTGTCCGTGGCAGCATGCACCATACACGGCTGCCGGCCTACCTGAAGGAGATGAAGAAGTATCATCTCGCCCACCATTACAAGAACTTTGACCTCGGCTTCGGCGTTACCAGCAAGATGTGGGATTACGTGTTTAACACCGTTCTTCCGGTTTAAGGTAGCTTCAATGCCACCAAATATCGTCGGCGTTTTTAGCCTGCAAGGCTCGGCTGCGGTATGGTTATTGTAATTCGAGAGATGTACGATATAGTCGAATAATGTTGGCCAGAGGACTGTCTGCTCGTGTTTGCGCTATGCATCACGGATGACCCCCACTTATTTCTTAGGCACTGCTATTCTAGTGAATGCGATTTGTGAACGGTACACTGCACCGTGACGACTGTCGCGTAGTGAACTTGTTGAGGGCCTTCGTTGCTCATGTATGCCTGGGAACGGCGCGGATTGATGCATCAGTTCTGCCGCTACACTGTTACGGTGACGACCCACGACAACTTTCCCTCCTCTCAGTACTTACATCCTATTCCTTGTCCATTCGTTATTCTCGTGTACCTATCCAGGAACCCTTGTCAGATCCAGCTCGTAAATCGATCTCAGTACACACTCGGGGTTACCGGTTATAACGTCGAAGTCGCATATGCCCAGAGTCAGATCTGCCACACCTCTGTCCTGGTCTTTTCTTCTCTTCTCTGTCTTCATTGTCGGCGCTGTCAGCTCGCTCTGCTTGGCATCAATCCAATCACCGCTTTCCGCGATGTCTTCAGGTGCCGTGTCGTCTGACGGCCATGGCGCGCGACGCGAAGAACTCACGAAGGTCGTCCGGACTGTACCCGGAGCAACTGTCCCGCTGGACGTAGAAGGATACCCTATTGCTCCTCCTGAACTGGAGCTCGAGCAAGTGCATATATACGTGCGGCATGGTGCGTCTCAGTTTTCATCCATGCCGAGTTTGCACTCGACGACACCTTTCTCTAATTTGTGCCCAGGTGAGCGCACCCCCGTCCGCGTACGCATGTCCGACCCGCCCGCGAACATACCGGAACGGTGGGATCTCTGCAAGACTGCACGGCGGTTCAGAGCGGCGGTGACAAGCAACATCAATGTGACGAACGCCATGGAAGAGGTCACTATACGCAAAGTTATTGAGAGTGCGAACGGAGACATTGAAGCTGGCGAATGGTGAGTACTTCGTCTTGTCCCTTCTTGTGCGTCGGATGGAGGCCTGCTGCGCTAGCTGTTGACAATCCTGCTTGCTGAATGCAGTTTGTTGGGAGAGTTGACTGACTTGGGGAGACAGGTACGTTCTCTACGTGCACAAGGAAACACGCAACCTCTGACCTGCGCTCCCAATTAACAGAACACCTACAACTTTGGTCGCGCTTTGAGGCGACTGTACATCGATAGGTTTGCGTGTAGTTTGCCTGCAATTACTACTAGGCTCTAACCAAGTTCGTGGAGACTTCGATTTTTACCTGATACACTACGATCACCAGGAACAAACGCTTTCCGAGACGGACTTCACTCGGAGCCGAGTCAGGTGTACTTTCGCTCAACAAACGTTCCGCGGACTATTGAGTCTCTACACGAAATTATCTTCGGTCTATACCCTTCAGATAAATGCCTTGATGGCTACGTGCATCAGTTACGAATACGGCAAGTATCTGATAATGATTATGGGTCGCCACCTGTGCTGATTGACATGTAGAAACGGGAAGGACGAAAATCTATACGGAAATACGGTATGCAAGCGCTTAGAAATACTCGAGCTTGGATTTGCGAAAGGTTGGCATTCTGCCCAAGTTCTAGCATGGACGTACTTGGCATCCTCACCCCGGTTATTCGTCCTCGTAGCTGCCGCTGCTGCCTGGAATCCGGTGCTAGAGGCGCTCGACGGCAAAATATCCAAATATATTGGAGGGAACCCTGTGAGGTTGGATGGTCGACCAAGAGCGTCTGGCATCTTCGACACGGTACACCCGCTGCGGTTTTCTTGTAACGTAGTTGGCACGTTGACGAGTATATTTAGATCAGGTCGGCTGCCGCGAACAGCATGCCTGTGCCCAAGGACTTCAACGAAAAAGGAGTCATGGACGTCATCGTACGTATTGCTTACGTTATACAGCGTGCTCTCACACTCACGGTTGCCTAGGAAAAAGCTATCGTACATGAGTGGTACGGAGGCTGTAAGTGGGAGTTCCTCTTCTTTCACAACGTGGCACTTAATTTCTATCTCTTCTGTCTCTCCGCTTCGCAGATGACACTGAAGAAGTACGGAGATTGGGCATGGGCCCTCTATTAGCTGACATTTCCGAAAAGATGATTTCCAAGGCAACGCAGGGCTCGACCAACAGGCTGAAGCTGCTTTTGCATAGCACGCACGACACCTGTCTGGCAGCCCTATGCAAGACACTCGATGTTTTCGACGAGAAGTGCGTTCATAGCTTTCCAGCTGATTTCCTTCCAAAGGTTTCCCCGCGGAGAGAAGGACCGTTGTGGACTGAGTTCGGCGCGCTGACCCGTGCTTTCCCAGATGGCCTGCCTTTACATCGAGTGTGACGTTCGAGCTGTTCAGAAAAACCTCTTCGAGTGACCCCAGAGATAGCACGGCTGGTCATGAGAGCTCTGGATCGCTACTTTCATGGCAGACGATCCTCTCCCCGTTCAGACGTCCTGGGCTCACTGACCAACACTGTACGCTAGCTATCCGAACACCGGCCACCACTTTCGCTGACTATTTATGGCAGACGTGCGAATGCGGTATCAGAACCGATCGTTGCCTCTTCCCTTGTGCGCAGAAGATGGGAAGCATCTGCCCGGGCACCCCGAGTTTTGCACCCTGACGGCCTTCAGACAAAGGATCAAAGAACTGACCCCTGTGAATTGGGAAGGAGAATGTTCTGTCAATGGAAAATGACGGGCCTGCACTGCGCGAAGTGTCAACCTAGAGAGATACCGCCAGGTCTTCGGATTGAATGTGAGCCGCTCCCGCGTACCTTGTGCCTCTTATGACGTTACGTGGCTGAAACTTAGTCCACAGTCTCCTCGTAGTATGCGCTGTTATGGCCATAGACAAATTTATTATTTGCTATTAACGTGCCGCCCAAATCATAGGCTCGTTGTTCCCTTTGCGGCGCTGCATCGGGTGAGTAGATGGGCGGACGCGCAGCAGCGGTTATTTTGGGACGGGAGAAGCGAAGCATAGAATTAGGGATACGTAGCATATCCTGAGATGGTCCACATGCCACAGAACCCAACGTCTGCTTCCGGGGCACGGCCCCCAGGCTTCGTGAGACCAACCGAGATCTCACCATGAGCACAGGGGCATTCCGGCGCCGGAAACGCGTAACTCAATAGAGAACGGATTTGGCAATGCCCTTCGATGGAGATCGGCCAAACCAAGCACAGCTGATCATGAATGCTCTTGTGAGTGCCTCTCGCTGTGGTGGGCTAGTCTCCTGCACTGATCCGTCCCCAGCCTCTACAGGCTGCGGCCATACAGAATGCGTTTTGTCGGCTGCTACCCGGGAGAGACGTGATTGTGCCCGAACGTAATGCGTGGAGGTGGCGGTAAGCGGTTGTTCATGTCCAAGCGGCATCGGTCGCTGTGCTTCAGTGCTTCAGTACTTGTTAACCCGTTGCCATCTACAAGGTATGGCCTACCAGATGGACCATTCTTTGAGGAGCCAATCCTGCACACGAGGACGGAGGTATGTCCTGACGTAGCGAATACCATGCTTGTGCTACGTCCCTGATCCAATAATAGTTGCACCCTCCAACTTCCCCGCGTGGCGGTACAGCATTTTTAGCACGAAGAAGATCTCCTCGAAATCGATACCCTTCGGGAGATACGCGGCACTCGATAATCTTACACATGAGCTACCGCAACCCTTGAATCGCCCGTCTAAGACTTGACTCTGCGCCTCGGTAGCCGTTCTCTGGCACGCCTGTGCTGTGTGGCAAGCCGTTGGAGAGCCGTTTGGTTCCGATACCTAGTCTGTTCGTCCATTTCCGCCATGTCCGAGCCCGCCACCATCCGATACATCCTCTCAAGGCACATGGTAGCGTGGAACAAGTCGGGAGCACTAGCTCGCGGGACTTAGCGTTTCCGACAGAGGCCGATGCTAATGTTGCCTTTGACCAATGGTCACTACACCCGCGCCCCTGAGAGATTGGTGCCCGCTGTGGGACGCTATGTCCTGTGGCTGAAAAATTGTTGCGCAGGCTAGGCGCAGCGGCTATTATAAAGGGGACGGCGTTGTGGACGCGCTTGTCGACTATGCCCTCCCAACAGCTATGCCTCTTCCTCATAACAAACCTCCCGTCCCGTATGCCACCGTCCTTCAGTGGCACATGACGCGTACGATGCCACGCTGTATCTACTTCAGCATTATCCGGCAAGCGTGCCATCTGGCCAGTGATGCTTCCGTGCATTCTCCCGATAGGTCAATATTGACCCTATATGCAACGTAGTATCGGCGCCTCCCGACAGTGGTGCGTATTCTGTGTCGCTCTTCCATCGGTTGCTGCATGACTCGCTGTGTCGCCTGACTGCATCTGATCCGTTTTCAAGATGTGTCCATGCGTCCTCAGCCAGCTGCGCAGCTCAGAAGTCTAAACACTTCCGTCTCCTCCCGCCCCTGCAGCTCTAGCGCATGCAACGCTCGGTGGCGAGGTCTCCCGAAATGCGTTTCTGCCGGCAGAATGGCGAAACTCCAAGTATCTAGGAGGTATAAAACGACGGGACCCAGTTCCACAGTCAACATCGGTCAACAGACACGTTCATCGACTCCAAACCCGAGACACCCAGATGGCTTTCACACAGCTCACCAAGGCCGTCCTATGCGCGGTGGCTCTGGCCTCGTGCTCGCTTGGTGCACCCGCCGGCAGCTCCGCCCTTGCGGTCTCCAGCGCCCTCATCCCCTCGTCTGCGCCCATCGCGAGCGCGTCGGCTTCGCTCACCACTGGTTTAGTGTCCTCAGCTGCGCCATCCGCGCCTACTAGCGCCATCGTCCCTGGAAGCGCCGCCAGCTCCTTTCCCGTACCGCTCTCCTCGCTGCAGTCCGCCCCCACCTCCTCGTCGACGCCGTCGGCATCCGTAACCGCGCCCGCCGCAACTGAGACGGTACCGTACGCGTCTGACAACGCCAACACGATCATGTGGGGCCCTGGCTGGAACGGCCAGCCAGAGGCCATTCGAGGGTCGCTCGGCGCTAGCGTCATAGGGCCCCAGAACGTCCCTTTAGACTTGCAGAACCCTGACATGCTCGCTCCGCCCACTACCGATGCCGGCACTGTGTGAGTTCAGTCCAGGGCCACTGATTGATTCCCCTGAGCTAACTTTATTTTTGCAGCGGAAATGCAAAATGGCCCTTCAGCCTAAGTCATAACAGGCTTCAGACTGGCGGCTGGGCTCGTCAACAGAACTGTAATTGCCCACATTCTTCTCCGTTTCTTGGCCGCTGAGTAGCGATTACAGTGGATGTCTTGCCCATAGCGACTAACATGGCTGGCGTCAACATGCGCCTTGAAGTTGGAGCTATTCGGTAAGCGGTGATGGCACGTAAGCTAGAATAACCATGTCGCTAATAGCTTTGCCCTACCCACAGAGAACTGCATTGGCACAAGACTGGCGAGGTAACCATTTTGTCAAACATCGTCCAGTCAATGACTAACTGATGCACGTTATAGTGGGCGTACATGCTCCAGGTAAATACCGTGCTCCCGCGTAGATATGTTTTTATGCTTAATAAAGTCTTAGGGATCTGTTCAAGTGACTGCCGTCAATCAAAACGGACAAAATTTCGTCAGCACAATTGTACGCTATGATATGAATTTTTTAGCGTGGTCTAATACTGTGCTCCCTAGAACCAAGGCGACCTCTGGTACTTCCCCGCTGGAATTCCCCATTCAATCCAGGCAACCAATGCCAATTCCAACGGCGCTGAGTTCCTTCTGGTATCTTCTTCTTATGAAATTCGCCCTGCAAGGCGCTGATGGAGCCCGTTTCAGGTGTTTGATGATGGTACCTTCAGCGAGGATGATACGTTCCTTCTGACCGACTGGCTAGCACACGTGCCCAAGGATGTCCTTGCCAAGAATTTCCAAACCAGCATGTCTACCTTTGACACGATCCCGGGACAAGAGCTGTATATCTTCCCAGGGTGTACGTTTTCACTGCCCTCCAATATGTTTATCGTACTGAGGCCTGCCATCTAGCTCCCCCTGGTTCTGACTCCGACGCTCCGACGAGCCCTCAGGGCACGGTGCCAAACCCTTTTACCTTCAAAATGTCGGAGATGAACGCGACTCAGCTGCAAGGCGGTTCAGTGAAGATCGTGGACTCGACCAATTTCCCTGCCTCTGTGACTATTGCTGCTGCTGAGGTGACGGTCGAGCCAGGCGCAATGCGTGAACTTCACTGGCATCCCACTCAAGACGAGTGGAGCTTCTTCATGTGAGCATACCGCTGGTTAGTATAGAGCGACTCTTGCCGACTAACACATTTGCAGCGAGGGAAATGCTCGTGTTTCGCTATTTGCTGCTCAAAGTTCCGCGCGGACCTTCGATTTTCAAGGCGGCGATGTTGGTGAGTGGCAGTGGATGTTTAACACTGCTCAACACCGATTGATGCCACTTCCAGGCTACGTTCCTGCATCCTATGGTCATTATGTCGAGAATACTGGCAACACCACTTTGCGTTATCTCGAGGTCTTCAAAACTAGCGTTTTCCAGGACGTTAGTCTCTCTCAGGTATGATCGCCCTGCTCACTGCAATCCGTCAGTTACTAAATAGCCGTCTTATTAGTGGCTGGCGCTTACGCCAGCGGCTATGGTCAAGGCCACACTGAACCTCGATGACGAGGCGTTGACCCTTTTCAGCAAGACGAAGCCAGTTGTCGTTGGTCCATCCAATAACACCTCTAGCTCCTGAGAATTTACCGGATAGCTGTGCGGATACACGAACGGCCTCTGCTTGCATGGCCTGGTAGTCTTCTTCTCTAGTACGAGAGCGTGGGAAAATGTTCATCGACTCAAGCTATACCACGTCCTTCTATTTGTGTAGCTATCTCTTTGGTGTGTTGTATAATATCATTGCTCTAGCTGAATAGCGATACCAGTGCTTGTTATCTTTGGTCTTTTTGGCGCCACAAAGTAGCCGGGAATCACCGACATCGGGAGCCTGCCCTTAGGTTGGCGTCAGCCAGCATGTCTAGGACTTTACGAGTCCGAGCCCAGCTTTTCATCGTATAGTACGTGGCGGAATCAAGCAGACATCTAAACTGATGACAATTGCATAGGCATATTGCAGAGCCCCATTTTATGAACGAAGTCTGTATTAGCTGACGCAGGGCTCCGCATCGAAACTCTGCATGTCCGTCCACGGTCCTTCTCTCAGACACACGCACGGACCGCAGCGATGCCGCCGCTTTCTGGGCTACTTCCTTCCTTGTCAAGACTTCTCTCTTCCCTGAGACCTTCGCCTCCAAGGTTGCCGCCTTCCGAGCATATGGCGGCCACCGAGATGCTACTACCCACGGCGATAGAGCGGCCCTAAGGAGTCTGGACGGGCGAGGCTTGGTGATCTCCTGCGCCCTGGGCCTCCGGCTTTCATACGTGTGGGAGCTTCTCTCTTTGCCAAGCGTTTGCCTTCGGACGCAGTGCCTGGTGCTTCTGACCTTGAAGCCTACTCGCTGTCTTCCATTCCTATTATTGGCGACGCCAAGGCAGGAGCCACTGCAGGCGCGGATACGCTCGTCCGGGGATCCGGAAGTTGGACTGAGCATTCGGGGTGAGCTGTTGATACCACTGTTTAACTTTCGAGACTCGCATTTTTCGTGAGTAGCTTGCACAATCAAGTTCCTAGTTTGTGGTGCATCGAACAGTGAATCTATTATCCCTCTTCGCGAAGCCGGAGCAGAACAAACATAACTTTTTTTTCGACACTACCAAATGCTTGTACAAGCCATACGGTATGCCAACTGACAGGACGCATAAGCAGAGGCAAACAGAGAGTTACAAGTGCATTATACAGAGTTTAGGAAGCACGGCCGCGGCATCACGCCGACCGAAGTCTCAACTTGGGGCAGCCGAGCGCTCGGCGGGCCCTCAGGCGGCTGTGGTACTGTTCGCAGTGCTGTTGACCGGAGCGGGGCCGACGACAATGGGCTTGGTCTTGCTGAAGTACTTGAGGTCTTCGGCTTTGATATTGAGCGTCGCTTCGATCATCGCCGGGGGCGTTAGGGCGATCCACTGCAACGGTTAATTACCAATTATCAGATCACGATCCTGGCAACGTGCACTTGAAGATGCTCTCACCTGATTCAGGCTGACGTCCTGGAAGGTCGCAGTCTTGAAGACCTCGAGATAGCGTAGCGTCGTGTTACCGGTATTTTCGACGTAATGACCGTGTGACGCAGGGATGTAGCCTGCGACCACCTTGTGTAAGCCTTGATGCCTAGTTCCACGCAGAAGTACACTTACCGATGTCACCGCCTTGGTAGTTGAACGTCCCCGCGTTACCTGAAGATGCAAATACCGTGACACGCGCATTTCCCTCCCTGCCCGGCCCCATTCAACATCAATCAGCAAACGCACGCGATCTGGCGACTCACAGGAAGTACGTCCACTCGTCCTGAGTTGGATGCCAGTGCAGCTCACGCATCGCACCAGGGTTGACCGTCACCTCTGCGACAGCCGTCGTCTTCGAGATGTTGAACACATGCGAGTCCACGATCTTGACAGACCCTCCTGAGAGCTCGGTCGCGGGCATTTGGGACATCGCGAACGTGTACGGGCTTGACACAGTGCCGGACGGGCTCACGGGGGCGTCCGAGTCCGGACCCGGTGGCGCTAGCGGGGCGGCCAAGGCGAGTCAATCTCATGCGGACAAATACTTGGGAGCAAGGGTACGCACCGGCAGGGAAGATGTAAAGATCATCGCCCGGAATCTCATTGAAGACAGAGATGGGCGCCCCAAAGTTCTTAGCGATGACCTCCTTCGGGGTGTGTGCGAGCCAGTCGGTGATGAGGAACGTGCCGTCCTCGTCGAAGGTGCCGTTGTCGAAGACCTGAAGCGCGCCTGCTGAGCATTTGTGCGAGAATATTTGATTCATCAATACAGCCTACCAGGAGGAACTCTGCGCCGTCCTCTGTCGCATTTGTGGCCTGAAGGGTGTGGGGGACGCCGGCAGGGAAGAACCATAGGTCACCCTTGTTCTGGTGACGCAATCAGCGTCAGAAAGCAGCCTGAAAAGATGTCGCTGAAGTACGTGCCGCAGTCCCGACAAAGTTCTGGCCGAGCTGGTTGACGGCTGACACTTGCACAGATCCCTGAAATGTAGAACTTAGAGGGCCGCTTGCCGCAAACGCTCTTGATTGGATGCACTAACCTGAGTGACATATGCCCACTCGGAAGCGGTGTGCCAATGCAGTTCGCTTCAAGAGACGATTTGAGCCAGAAAGGACTTGTGTTCAATGGTGGCTTACCGAATAGCACCGGCTTCGAGGCGCATGTCAACTCCCGCGAGCTCGGTGGCGGCGGGCAGCTGCCCAACTATCGTCGTCACATGGTCAGTCACTGCTTGGTGCTTACATACATATGGGGCCCACAGGCTCACCGTTCTGCTGACGAGCCCATCCACCAGTCTGAAGGCGGTTGTGGCTCATGCTGAACGGCCACTTGGCGTTGGGCCTGCAGAACACATTCGTAGTTAGCACCTTTCAAAAGCGGGATGAACCCGCCAAGGTGAGTTACGTACACTGCGCCATTGTCAGTCGTAGGCGGCGCAAGCATGTCTGCATTCTGAAGGTCGAGCGGCACGTTCTGGGGGCCGATGACCGTCGACCCGAGGGAGCCACGGATCGCCTCAGGTGTGCCAGTGTAGTCGGGGGTCCAGGCAACGTAGTTGGGGTCGTCCGATGCAGGCGCCACAGTCTCCGAGGCCGGCGCGGCCGAAGTCGACGAAGGTTCGGTCTCGGAGGACGACCAGGCGAGCAACGAAGAAGAGGCCACCGCAGAGCTGGCGGACAGCGAGACCACCGATGCAGCCGTTGGTGCGGCGGCGCTGTAGGACGCAAGAAGGAGTGCACAGGTCACAAAAGTGAAGATGTTCCTGAGCGACATGTCGAGCGATGCTGGAGGAGATCAAGGCAGCTGATAACGGTGGTCGTGCAGTGGCGGCGCCGTGCTGCTGGGGATATCGAGGTACACCCGCCGGCTTTTATACAGAACATCGCTTTGCGCTCTTTGGTCACTTCGGCATAGTGCAAATGACTGGACATGGGCAGAGTGCGAGTGCGTCCGGGGCGATTACGATGGCCCTGAGCAGCTCGGTGAAGCCTTGGTGCCGCATGATCTGCGCACAGGTGGATCAATATTTCTCGCTTTACTTCTCGCGACTAGGCGGCGCAATGCAGCTCATAGCATTCATGGGACACGATCCCCGCGCCAGAATTGCTAAAGGCGCCGACGCTGTGTACAGACAACGAGAAAGACGATATGAGTGACCTCCAACAAAGAATATGCTGTAAGAGTGCGACACAGTCGGTATGTGGCGGATGTGAGCGCGGATTGTGGTGCACGTTTGCTAGAGGGCGCTCAGGTAAGGCACGTGGTGGTCAGACATTGCTGAAAATCTGATAGCCGGAAGCGGAAGCGGTATTATGGCTGCCGACGCTGTACAATAGGAGGGTTGTTTCTGCTGCTTATGTCCCATTTCCCTCAAAGGTGTGTGCTTTACCACGGTCAGCGCTGGAAGCCCTCCGCAGCAGGATGCCGCGGCGCAGTAGATTCCAGAAGTGCGCCGGATGAGTACAACAATTTCTCTGAGCCCATAAATTCTTGGCTACAGTAAGCATGTTGCCAAGATAGTTTTGCACCAGCTTATGCTGGGCGCCGCGTTCTTCTGGAAACATTGGTGGCGACCAGTAGGCAGGTACCGTCTGAGCCCGGCCTAGGTGGAGACTTGAAGGCACATAGGTGGCCCTCATCGACTTGACATAGTAGGGACATGGGCTTCAATTGGCCACACCGGACAATCTTCGTTACAGCAGCTGAGAGCACGGCTCTTCTCACTCTCATCATGAGACGCAAACCCTCACAATCAGGCGTGCGGCATGCAACGGCGCAGCTGCTTCACTAGTCACGACCCATCAGGGTCGCCTGCTGCTGTCCGACCCTGGACCGGCCATGGAAAGTCCTCGGAAGTGGTCGTATTAATCAGTTCAGCCACATGTTTGCGTCATTGGATCATCCTCCAATCGACGTGCCGATGTCGAAGAGCGGCACCATGTGCACGGAGTCACGGTGCTCTGGCACTCGGCACAGACAGCAGGCGACCTGTTATTCGAAATTGCAAGATTATTCGTGGGTGAAAGAGTGCGCCGGGAGCTTCAAATCTGACATCTTCGTCCGCATTAGCGCAAACTAGTCTTACTTCGTGGAGGTAGTAGTACACCTATACGAGATCTGATTGGAGACTCTGCCTGTAATATAAGTGGCGGGAGCAGGGCGTCCAGGATCCCAGATGACATACCCCTTTAAATCTCTCAGATGTGAGTGCGGTCTGGCTGATGGAGAGCGTCTTTGAACGCTGACAGCCGTGCCTGCTCAGACTATCAAAAAAGAAGGCTTTGTCCTACATTTTGGAACACGCTGCACTGTACACTAAGGTAAGAGCATGCTGACTTTGAGACAAAGGGAGTGCTCACCAGTCGTCAATAGATATGCCGTTGCCGAAAACCGGAGCGAGATGCGCCCTATTCCTCGTGCTTGTGTCAATAGTTCTGCTATCTGCGCTTGCGAGTCCTCTCCGTGAAGATGCCACTCGAGCACGACTAACGCGGCGCACGATCAGACCGCATCCGTGACAACGCCGAGGAGGAATATCTTGATGCCTCTGATCAACCGTGACCTCTTTTGCACCCATGATATCATAAAATGTAACGATGTCAACTCGCCCCTTTAAACGCTGTCTCACTTGCTCGGATTGAAGCGGCCGGACGCGGTAGCCGCGGCGGGGTTCGGACTGGTTCGGAAAATCTTCATAACTTCTCCGGCGGAGCGCTCGCACAGTGTGGTGATCTCCGGAAAGGCTTTGTGGCGCATATCTCCTTTCGGCAGGTGACTTCATTTGCGATCTTCGTTGGCCGCAATTCACGTCTGGTTTAACCTGAATCAACAGTCAAGAGGATTGATTTGAATGAATGTAGTGTCAGGCACAGAACATATATTGTCCGGGTTCAGCTGCACAAGTACTTACTCGTGTGACCTAGTGGTCCCTGAAAAAAATACATTTCTAAGCGCTGGCACACCTGCGGCTGGGTCTCGTTCCCGCCTATGCTGCTTGCACTTCCAGGAAAACAGTGTTGAGCTCTGCATATGCATGGAACAACGACCAATGAGTGCCTAAATAAATCTCGACAGCCATGTTATTATCTTCGAGTTGCCGTCCTTCGGCATCGGGAAGTTACCTCCGATACACTTTCTGATCCTTCCATCGGCAGAGGGCAACAAGATAACTCCGCGCCTTGGACTGTGGCTTGTTTTCGGCGGCCACTAGGGTCCTGACAAAGCCTGACGGGAGCACTCACGGGACGGAACCACGGAGGAGCGCGCCGCACATAGATGGGCTGCATCCGCTGTCTGAACTGCATGACGCTCCAACCTTCCACTACCAGCATTGGAGGACCGTTCCGATTATCCGATGCTCGAAGAGAAGCTTGCCGCCAAGACGAGGATCGCGCGTCGCGTCGAGTCACATTGACAGCCACTGCTTCCTCAAGGAACTATGGCATCTCGACACGTCCACGGGCCTCCAAGAGAAGTATTCGCTTCGCGTCGTGACCCTTTACTACTAGCGGAGAAGGAAATTCTGGGGAATCGGCAGATAGACTGCGGCCAGGGGCGAATACGAAAGGATGCATACGCCTGCATCTAATCGCGTCGCACCCTCTTTCCAAGTGCTCGTGTCTTCGATCACGCCAGATCCCTCTATTTCGCCTACCATATGCACCACCACTTTCGCCGCTCGCTTAAGTTGGCTTGTGGTGAGCGGTCTTTTCAGGGCCCGGACGTACGCCAGCGTATGAGAGCTCCCACACGAACGACGTGGCGAATCCCTGAATCAGGAACGGCAGTTTATATTTACCCTTTCCGCAGAGTCCTGTGCCACAGTGTGCCGTCGGAAACTGTCAGGAGGACCTTCGATGAATTCCTCGATCTCGTGTACCGGATGTTTAATGGGCTTTGGAGGGCCATTTGTCCGGAAGCGCCGACTCCTTGCCGAAGATTTGGCTCGGGTGTCCGGACATGCTGGCAGATCTTATAGCGGCCCGACTGTCCGGGCAGCCTAGGAACTTAATGTCACTGCCGCAGACCATCATCGAAGTGCCGAGAGTGGAAGAGGTATGATAGCGGCATATCGATGAGCCTAGAAGGCATCCTCCGAGCGCAAGTGTGCTCAGTTCTAGAACGAATGGGAGGGGAGGGGATAGTTTCGCACTAGCTCACAGCGCACGCAGGGCGTACAGTTTCCTTGAGCCCCGCCCGCTTCGGGCAGGTCTTTTTGTACGAGACAAATAGAGACCGCTGACAGCGGTTATGGGACTCGGAAGGGGGCAGTTTTCCCAGCGCGCCGTGTCATCTGCCATCAACAGAGAAGATTCACGGTGGGTTAACATCACAAAGCCGCGCCTAAGGGAAGACATTCGAGCCTTCAGGCCATTGGCCCTCAGGCCTCAGGGGGGAAGACGTGCACTCGGACGTAAGTACTCGTCAGTACGACTCGTGGGCCCTATGACGAAGTGAGCTCATTGGTTCGAGAATACACTTGTCTGGCCAGACAGAGATCCTCCTGGCAGGCCTGATATACGGATTGTATCGTCGACACCAGTAGGGAGGCAAACCTCGAATCTTTCGGCGCTTGAACAACTCATCACGCGCTAGGGGCGGGAGCGGGAAGCGGGCCCAGGCGCAAGGGCGGGATAGCAGGCCGAGCGCCGAAGGAGCCCTGGCCAGCCCGCTGAACTGGTCGTCTGGACAGTCAACCAATCTGCGGGAGCATGCTAGCCTGTCCGGATGACTGAACGGCCTCTTCAACACTTCAGAGGTGCTCTATCGGCAGGTCCCGTCCGTCCACTTGCCAAGCCTTTGCAGGCGCTTTCAGGGTCCTCTGCTCCTGACAAACTTGCACGAGGGGAATGAGCGAGGACGACATGGTGCATTACACATCCGTGTGGAGTGCGAACACATAGAGTGTTGATAGATACAGGTACCACACCGTATACCCGAAGAATGTAAGAAACCGGAGGCGAAAGGTCCTCCGCGCGCTCGATACACAGACGAACCGCGCATGAAATTCGTTGCTTCGACACGCCATGCACATGCAGAAGCTCGGTTCGGTCACTGAACGGAGCTCATGCTATCCTGCAGTATGATATTGAAACTTTATGCGAAGACCAGTCAGCCTCGAACACATAATATGAAGCTTACGGGATTGGGTTGCTAGGTAGCCCGCGAGAAGGTAAACATATCGCGCGCGATTCTCGCACGGAGAACATCGTGGGCGATGTGCGCAACGGCCGAGGCTTCGGCTGAGGGCTTTCCCCATACGTTGAAGATGAAAGTCTCTATTGCTCGCTCTTGAGGTATTGTACGACGACGAATCCTGACACAGCTTGCGAGTCGGAGCGGGGTCGGCTTCGGGCGCCCGCCCAACCTAGACACGATGCGCTCTTAGACAAGTGAGTAGGACGGCCGTGGATTTGACTAGTTCCTGGAATCGCCGCGGATGTCAGCGCGCCCATGTTAAGGATGCGCGTATTGCAGTACACGGGGCATGCTGGGTAGCTGCGGAACAGGATATCGTCAGGGCAGTGATATCACACTATGTGAGAATCAGACCGTGAAGATAGTACCATCGTACCTTAAATTGTCCTCCTGATATTGCTCCTCCACAGCGTCAGGCACAGAGCTTGCGAGCTGGTGCTGCATGACCTCGATGAGAGCTTTGCGGTCAATGGAGGACGATAAATGAAACCTTACCGGAAAACGTGCAGCAGGCGGGTCTACAGTGAGGATGCAGCATGAGAGCCAGGAGAGAGCGCGGCAGAGCAAGGTTTCGATATGGCCCTAGCCTGCGTATGAGAGGGTCCCGCGTGCAGATATTACGCCAGACGATATTCAGAGCTACTAAGCCAGATTCAGAGACACGGCCAGTGGGACGAATCTCATCGTTTCTACGCGAAGGCTCGCTCTCGACATATGCATCGCGGACGCAAGCCGGAGGGCATGGACATAGTGGAACTTCATGGATAGTCAGGCCAACGCGGGCGAGATACTCGAACAGCAGCTTGCAGAAGGCTGCAGTGCGCGCGGAGCAGTGGAAAGCCAGGCAGCTTCGGTCGCCTCACCCTCTGAGACAAACATGGTGGACAGTCCAACTATTTGCATAAACTACAAGGCTGGCCTTGGTTGAAAGACCCAATGGGAGAGCGACGCGTTGCAAAGTCGGGATAGTTCGGTGTCGGCAGAGACAAGAGGATGGCCTTCAGACTTTCGTCGTGTGACCGACGAAGCGAGGCTGGGAACGGAGTGTCCACAGGTGCAGCTTCAGAAGTAAAAGTAGATGAGGCCAGGGGTAGAAAGTGCCATTCGAGAAGGAGATTATCAGCTGGGCCTTGGAGGCGAGCTGTCGGTTGACGGAGAGAAGAGAGGCCGCTGGTGACCGTCGAGACGTGTTGTGCGTCCGATGAGACAAGAGTCGGTCGCGTCTCGGGCGGCCGAAGCACACGCGACCGCTTGCCACTTTCCGTTCCAGCTCTCGTCCTCATCGCTTCAAATACTTCCTGCCGGTGTCTCCCATGGTTCATCCCGTCGTTTCGCTGTACCCGCAGGGCAGGCATGCTCCGTCTCTCAAAGATCTCGAAGCGCGTCCCAGCACGCGTCCTGTCACGACACACGTATGCATCACAGGCCAAGCTCACCCGGTCCTACGTCGAGGGTCCGACAGACCCACCCCTCTGCCACCTCACCCTGCCCGCCTACTTTGCCCAGAAGATCCTCCCGCTCCATGCTGACCGCCCTGCGCTCACATGTCGCGCCGAAGAGCCCAACACCTTTGGCGGTAGCCCCCAGAAGAGCAACAAAGCGTGTCTCGACTGGACCTTCAGGGAATTCGACGACCATATCGCGGCCGTCGCACGCGGCCTGCTAGCCATGGGTGTGAACAAGGGCGACCGAGTAGGTGTCATCATGGGCAACAACAGGTGCGCACGTCACTCTTCCAGTCAAATATTAGCCAGATGTTGACTCCTACAGTACCTATGCGATGCTCCAGTGGGCCTGTGCTCGTATCGGCGCCATCCTCGTCACTCTCAACCCAGCCTATCGCACCCACGAGCTCATCGCCACCCTCGGCCTTGTAGGCGTTAAACACCTCTTCCTGGTCCCCCGCATACGCTCCAGCGCGTACCTCCAGAACCTCGCCGACGCCTTCCCATCCCTCGCGTCCTCGTCACCCGGGAACGTGAACATCAAACGCCTGCCGGATCTCAAGAACATCGTTGTCCTGGATGACCTCGGTGGGGCTCAGGGGGCCGCAGAGATGGCGCGTGCCAAGAGTGCCGTCGACTTTCGCGAGATCCTCGTCTGGCGGCACGCTGGCCCCGAACAGCGCGAACTGGAGGCACTCGAGCGCGGGCTGCAACAGCACGAGACTATAAATTTGCAATTTACAAGGTGCGTGATCTACTTTGCGAGCGTGACGCCGTCCAAGAAGCTTGCTGCATGCTGTTGGGTGGTCTCTTGAAACGCGGTGGGGCGCGCAAGCTGCCGGGGTGCAAAGTGCCCGCCGTCTTTTGACCAGCAGCTCGGAGAGTTCAGATGCTGCCCAACTCGCCACAGAACGCTTTCGCAATCTGACAGCTCCGCTCACCGATCCATGTTTCCAGCGGCACCACTGGCGCGCCAAAAGCCGTCTCCGTACGCCCTCGCCCACGTCTGCGTACCGCCCAGCTGCGCTAACGCCCCCGTCCCAGCTCACGCACCACAACCTGCTCAACAACGGCATCCAGATCGGGCGCTGCATGCACCTCACGCCGTCCGACGTCCTCTGTACGCGCCTCGCCTCACCTCCGCTCCCTCCCACACCCACACTGACGCCCCTCCCGCCCTCCACGCGCCAGGCAACGTCCCGCCGCTCTTCCACTGCTTCGGGCTCGTGCTCGGCAACCTCGCGGCGTGGACGCACAGCGCCCGCGTCGTGTACCCCTCGCCCGTGTTCAACGCGCGCGCCGTCGTCGACGCGCTCCTCGCTGAGCGCCCGAGCGCGCTGCACGGCGTGCCGACGCACTTCCTCGGTGTCCTCGCTGAGGTCGCGGCGCGCGAACGCGAGCTCGGCGCGCCGCTCGTGTTTGACCGGCTCAGGTGCGTGCGTCCGTTTGATGTGGCGTGTTTCTGTATGTAGTGTTGAGCTGATGGGGAACGCAAGGACGGGCATCGCGGCTGGCAGCTCGATCCCGACGCCGCTCATGCGGACGCTCGTCGAGAAGCTGAGCTTGACGGAGCTGACGATCGCGTATGGCATGAGTGGGTCTTCCTCTCCCTTCATTCTTGTCTCGCGTCGCTGATTGCGGATGGTCATAGCTGAGACGAGGTGAGTGCGCGTTGCGCGAGTGCGGAGCCGCGGAGGCTGATCGGGGACGCACCCAGCCCGGTGTCCTTCCAGACCGTGCCGAGCGACCCGCTCATTATGCGCGTCGAGAGCGTGGGGCGCGTGCATCCGCACGTGAAGGCGAAAATTATTGCGACGGACAGGTACGTCGCGCTGTTCGGGACCTGTGCTTTCCTATCACCTGCTGACGCCCGTGTCGGCAGAAAACATGTCGTCGAGGGTGCGCACGAGGACGAACTTGATGACGTCGTGCCCATTGGAACGCCTGGCGAGCTGCTTGTCTCGGGATATCTTCTCCAGGCTGGGTACGTCCGTCTCTCCCGTCTTATATTTCATTAGCTCAATCTTAAAATTATTATTTTACTTGTCACTTTGCTTGCTCGCCGTTCTTCTCCCTCTCATCTGCCTGCTTTCAATACCGGATGCAAAACATCGACGGGTGACTGATTACGTTGGCAAACAGTTACTGGCAGGACCCCGAGCAGACCGCGCAGGTGATGCGCCGCGACGCGAACGGCACGCTCTGGATGCACACCGGTGACGAGGGCGTCATGGACGAGGACGGCTACCTCCGGAGTGCGTGCCTTCTTCGCTTGCATCTTCCCGCTCGCTGATCCCCCACACCTCTCTTGGCCCCCACCAGTCGTCGGACGCATCAAAGACATCATCATCCGCGGCGGCGAGAACCTCTTTCCGGTGGCGATCGAGAACGTGCTCACGGCGCACGCCGGCATCCGCGAGGCCGTCGTCGTCGCCGTGCCCCATGCGCGCCTCGGCGAGGTCGTCGGCGCGTGGGTCCTCCGCGAGCCCGGTGCGCCCGCGGGCGCGGCGCTCAGCGCGGCGGACGTGAGGCAGGTCGTCGCGCAGGGGATGAACCCGCAGGTGCGTCGCGTTTCCTATGCGCTCCCTGACTATCGTGTTACTTCGCTAACAAAGTAAGGACAGAACGCGCCGGCGTACGTGTGGTTCGTCGGCGAGCTCCCCGAGGAGGTGCGTTCGCGCGGGGAGGAGAAGGAAAAGAGCGATGTTGGGGGCGTGCGCAAGTTCATGGGGCTGCCGAAGACGGCGAGCGGGAAGGTGATGAAGCATGTTTTGAGGACTTGGGCGCGTGAGCTGGCGGAGAAGGGTCTCGGGAGGGTGGGCGCGTAGCGGATGTCTGCGTTCCCGAGCGGAGGCGAGAGCGCGTTGTATTCTGGTATGTGTCACCTCTGTGGAATTGCTGAGAGGTCCTGATGTGGCAATAGGAATATCTGGAAACCATCTCGTAGCATGTATTCGAATATATTCTCGTTGTGTTGCGAACATGACATCTACCCGTACAGACGTTGGAATAAGCAATAGTGTTATCCTTGAACTATTTGTCTCGCGTTGAGTTGGCGACACGAACGGCGGCAGCACACAAAATCCTCAAAAATTCAGGGTATTGTTCCGAGTGTAAGTACGCGCGTCTATCTAGACTGGACGGTGATGCGGCTGTAGTTGT